AGATAGAGAGAGAGAGAGAGAGAGAGAGAGAGAGAGAGAGAAGAGGGGATAGGATATTGAAGTGATTTTAGTTTTTTAATATTTATTTATCCTATTTATTGGAAATTTCGAATATCTGAATTTTTGCCTCTTCTTTCTTTCTTCTCTTTTAATGAGTCAATGAGCATGCAGGGATTTTCCGGGAAAGAAAATGACTTTTGTGAAGTGGGTCGCAGTTTGGTCGGTGGCTCGACCTGTTCTGATTTTCCCGAAATGGTCTTTGTGCTTTCGGATTCATTTTTTTTTGCATCTGAAAGGGATAGCAATATTTTAATATATACATATATACATTTATATGTGTCCGTAATTTCGGCAAAAAACTATGAAGAAAAGGGAATAATGAATTCTTCACTCCGATCAACTCCGTGGACTCGTGGTTGGGTTCTTAATAGTAACAACCATCGTGTTCGCAGCGAGTCGTTTAGACTCTATAGAGCGTAAAACTATAATAAGCATACGTGAATTCAAGGATATGTTCAAGACGAGTTGGAAAATTTGAGAAGGTCCGCTTAAGAATTCTTTGATTAGAACCCTGGTAAGTTAATTTTATTATTTCAGTGGGATAAGTACACTGAAAATCATAAAACTTGTCACGAAAGTGCAATCAAGTCATAAAAGTTTTGAAAAGAGCAATCGAATCCTAAAACTTATCACAAAATTGCAATTGAGTTCTATGTACTAGATTGGATTGGACCAATTTGACAAGTTTTAGGACTCTGCTGCACTTTTTTGAAATTTTTAGGATTCAATTGCACTTTCGAGACAAGTTTTTAGGACTTAATTGCACTTTCTGATAGTTTTACGACTCAATTGCACTTTCGCGATAAGTTTTCGAACTCCCAGTGCACTTATCTCTTATTTTAATTCACGCGAGAGTTCGCTTTAACCGATCAATTAAACTTTTAAATTAAAAATTTCACTGCTCCAAGATTTTTCAAGAAGTTAGATTAAAGGAAAAAAAAAATGATGTAAGCACGTGGTAAGATAGGCGACGTGTTGTAAACTAGGATTTATTTTGGGGGGGTGTAATTATGATGTTGGGGGAGGTCAAGGCAGCAAAAGAACATGTCTCCACTCCATGCCCGTTCAAGTGCTCACTTGGTGGCCTTTCAAATTTATTGGCCGACGGATTGCACGTCGGCTTAATGCATTGCTTATTAAATCCCATAATGTGTGATTTATTTATTTATATTTATCGAAGATTGACGAGGGACACAAAAGAGAAAATTAGGACATTAGAGCATGTTACAACTCAGAAACCGCTTCATTTTGCATAGAATGCATGTAAGAACAATAAATCATGTACAAAGTAGAGCCCTAGCCTACCCATTTTGGGATTTTGCAGATGTTATAAGCTCCTAAACTTAAAAGCATTGAGGTCGGAATTGGTATCGGATCGAATTGTCGGAATTGCATGATGCTTGACTTTCGTGTAATTTGTACTACAAATTCAGCGGAAGAGGTAGTAGAGGATACCATCTTGAGCACGATTCGCATGGATTTAATTCTCAATAAAGAAAAAAAAGTGTTTCGATGATAACTGTTGGATATAAGTGTCGAGTTATGAAATGAAATCTCTTTCATTCTATGTGAGATTTGGAATGCTACACGTAAAAGTTGAAGACGTGTTAATAGAATAGTAGAGGAAACCCGCTAAGTAGCTACTACTAATTAGATAAATATTGTACTTTCGACAACTCTCGGCATTCTTGCAATGGGAAACTCAATGGCTATGGTATAATATTCCATCTCTTGTCTTCCTTCCACATGACGTGGAAAGCACGCCTCGTGTTTGTATTTATGCGTCAGTCACAAAATCAACAAAGTCTCTCTATGGCGCGCGCAAAGCACACCTCTTTCGTAGTTCTGTGCTATTCACAGTCCATCCTTTAACCCCCTCCTCCCAACAAACTTTCCCAATCAAAAACACAACTTGATTTTCATATTATAACGGGGTTCTCGTCACAAACAAAAATCAATGCGTTGAAAATCACAAATTTTTGTGTTAATACCACGAAAAGTTCCAAACTGGTACACCCCGTGACAAATTTACCATTCGATAATTTCGTTTAAATTTTACAGTCAAATTGCCGGGTTGGATGACGCGCGGCAGTTGACGGACGTACCGATTTGGGGTTTTACCTTCCGTTTCTCACAGATGTACCATTAATTCAATTTAACAGAAATTGACGGAGAGTAAATTTGTCACAAATGTACCGGTTCAGAGTTTTTTGGGATCAAAAAATTAGTCACAAGTAAATTTGTCACATGAATATCAGTTTGAGATTTTTCGTGATATTTGGCCCCAAATTTTTTTTTTCCATTGATTTTTAAAGCGCCTCGACGTCACTTTTAACCAAAGTTTACGCACACAAATAAATTCCGATTCCAAAATATTTTCTTGCAAAAAGAAAAAAAAAAGAGAGATTTCTCGAGCAAAATGATGGTGGCCTTCATAAACCTTTTTTTATTTTTCCTCGCATTCGTACAATTTTTTATTTTTCCATGAATTAGGCCGGCACTCAGAAACTGTTCCCGCACATTTGCAAAGCCTGGCGCAGACCCCCTTCCCCCCCCTTTCCCGAAACGACGACAAGTCCCGCTTTATCGACTGCAGCCCGGGAGCCGTTAAAAGCAAAAACGACACGTCGGCTTTTTCTCAGCCTTTTTGTTCCTCCTCCCCCCACCCCCCCTTCGCTAAACGGCTGACGTTTATCTCTCGCAGCGTTGACCGCTTTTTAAACCCACCCCCACCCTTTTTTTAAAAAAAATAAAAAGAAAAATCCATCTTGACTTGATTATTATTTATCTTATTTTTATGGAAAAAGCCCCCCTTTTTTTGAATTATAAATAAAATAGTAAATTAAAACTAAAGGGAGCACCACCCCCACGGCTTGTCGTTTTCGACTTTCCACGCACTACATGCGATGGCCGTCCTCAGCATGCCATAAAGGATGGGGGTGGGGGGCTTCACTTCCGAGGAATTTCATTTATTTTTGTTGGAATTTCTTTTTTTTGGGACTTTGAGCTTAACTGGGTTTTTTTTTTAATATAATGATCTTCGATTAGTTAAATCGTTAATTACTGTCGGGGATTGATAAAGGGAGGAACAGGGTATTGGTGTTGGGATCGGACGGTGCGTTTTTGTCCCGCCTGGTGTTCCTACGTTGTCGCATGTTGGGAATGTCTGCCTCTTGTTTCCATTCTCGTTTTGATAACTGCTGTTACTCCGCTTTTGGTTGGTGGGTTATTATTTCGTGAGAAAGATGTGCTGTGAATTTACAGTAAGAGAAAAATCCACCCAAAGGAACGGAACTGGTGGCGTCGTGAAGTCTCTTGGACATTTGCAGAGCAAAATTTGCATCGGAAACGCGGATGATTTTTGCCCGAACTTGAATGAACATGAATCGGGTCAATCGCAATCACCCATCGTATGAATTTCACACGAATCCCGCAAATTTCGATTGCTGTGATTGCATAATAAATGGCCGGTGGAGCGTCATCTGTACAATGATAAAGATTTACATGATTTATTCATTACAGTGGACTTTACGAGTCACGAGCTCTGAATACAGAGCAAGCTAAAAAGGAGAGCGGATTAAAACTTACCGCTAGCATTTCAATGCTAAGGCGGCTCGGAAACGATTGCACTCCATCCAACTTCAAAACAGAAGTGGGTTAATTAAATTAAGGTTGCCCTAGTCACATCTTTTCCCATTTGTAAGCATCTGTGCAGATTTGACCCACTTGTGATGTGAGAGGTTAGATTCTCTCCGGACCTTTTGACCCAACTTGCTGTCTTGTCCTCCCTCCTCTAGCTCTCTCCGGACAGTTACATGGGTTCATATGGCTATCTCATGGCTTTTGCTGGTGTCCTCGCCTTGTTGGAGCGAGGATCATGAACTTGACCAGCAACAGTACAGAACACTTTCCTATGTTGCCTTTCTTTTGCTCTTCTTCTCCTCTCTTTTTCTAAACTCTCTAACCCCTTTTGATTTGAACCGGCATATCGACAGAAGAGAAAGCGATTCTTTTTCTAAGACCCACTTGACGACACATCATGCGCACGTGGTGGTTTCCATCACCACCACCGACCCTTGTCTAGTCCATGGCACCGGGACCTCTCCGTATGAAACCGTCCCTCGTCCTGTTGCTGATAATCAACCCTTTTTTTTTTGTCTCGGTTGCTTGCATTTTCCATGTCCGCCGTCCTCAGTTCATTTCAGTTTCTGATAAAATATTGTGTTTTGGGGGTTGCTAGAGCATGGGAAGACAATGGGGAGCTTTCCACAATGAACATGCTTGGAGATCTCAGAAGGTATAACGAAAAAGAGAAGTCGAAGTGACATGGACTAAAAGGTGTGTTCCTAAAGTTTTAAACGCGAAGCGAAAGCTATTTGGACGTTTTCTTCAATCAAGAAAGTGAAATACGTCTGTTCAGACGCACGATGGCTTTGTTGCTGCCGTAGCAAACAGTAATGGTGCTGACCACCTTCAGGGGCAGCCTTGCAAAAAGATAACAGTGACATTACAAAGAGAGGAAAGTGGCTCATACGTCAAAAGATCCTCAAGCATTGCCGCTTAAGCTGTCGCTGCTGAGTCCAGTATCATTCATGTATTTATCTGCAGTTTGGTTTATTTATCTGAGGTGCAGTTGTTTATAGAATAATGTGCCCGTAACTCCAATTTATATTTCTGTAAGAAATCTCTATATCAACCCATTAAAAAAAATACCAATTTCTCGAAAAATGAATAATTTGAAAAACATTTTCTAAAAATATAATCGCTTCTGACAAAAATAAATGCATGAGTACTGTTCATTGTCATGACAATATGCTGCCACACTTTTCCAATTCCTAAGAAGCCCCAGATAGCATAACTATGAACACATTCATCTGGACACACGAAAGAAAATAGATGCACGCTTATTCACAAACCACACTACTCGATCCACAACCAACTAAATAAATGTCAGCTGATTTTGTCATAACAATCAATGTACACTGGCTCTAAAAGCGTAATGCCTCTGTCAGTTCAAGTTAACTTCACATTTTCGCACTCGCATAAAGTAAGAATCGCATAAATACTGACTACAGACACTTATGCTATGTTATATGTGCAGATGAAAGTATGTCAACTGCAGATGCACCAAGGCAAGGGAACTCCTAACTAGTGGCTCACACCTTAGATGTCAAGAGAGGACTCTCGTAAATACTCTGGCAGTCCACAATGAAATCGAACACTTCCTCCTCAGAATCAAAAAACTCGGCTTGTGATCTCTATTGCCGAGACATTGGTGCCGTTGGCAGGGACGTTGGCTGGTTGTAGAAACCACCTTCTGAACCAGGGAAACCCTGATAGGAGCTTGCTGGAGGTGTAGGGAATGGTGGTAATCCACCAGACACTGAAGTTCCAACTACTGGATAACCTGGCAGTGATTGCGGCTGTTGGCTCATGCTATAGTTGAATGGCATGCCATTATTCATTGGTCCGGCAGCGTGCATGAACTGAGGCGGTGCTGGGTATGAAGTCATGGGTGGGAGTGCTGGCGGAAGAGGTGCAGAGGATGGAGGAGGAAGCAGAGGCTGTTGCACACCGGTTGTGCCATTGTGTTGGAGGGACTCTGGATGGGGAAAAGGAGGAATAGTTGGCTGCTCGGGATTTTGAGACGGTATGTAAGGTGTTTGGTTGTTCTCGAGCCTAGGACGCTTTTCGGAAGCATAATCACCAGAAGAGTCCTTCACTGGATTACCAATGGCACCGCCAGATGCCAGCGAGGAAAGGACCATCGACAGCATTTCGGCTGATGATGTCGATGCTGTCAGCTTCGCAGCCACAGCAGCAGCAGCAGACTTCCGAGGGTCTTCCTCAGTGTGGCCGGACTGCTCAGGATAAGATGGTGCCCGCTGCGAGTACATTACTGGGACAGATTGTTCCCTGTCTGCTGGTATGTAGGTCTGGGGTGCTATGGATGTCTGGACGTCTTTCAAGCTCTGGTTGGCCAGCAATTGACTAGTATTGCTATTGAGTAACTGTTGGCAGATAGTTTTTGCCTGCTCTGACTTTGATCGAGCAGCCTGAAGCATCAATATAACTAATAAACAACCCATACTTAACAATAAGCACAGAAAGACCTGTCAAGTTGTAAACTCAACAAAGTATGCAGTCTAATACATGCATATGGTATCTCATCCCTAGCAATAGTTGTGTTTTCCTTCTTCTTCATAGGGCAATGAGTGGGCTGGTGGCATGGCCATAGAGATTCAGTATACAAAGAATTCCCTACAATCTGTAACTTAGTAGCAGATGTTTTTGGCTTTTGATGAACCACAAGGCTTGCGCATTATGCCTCTTTTAAGTTTTAGCTTTACTTCCGACCAAAAAAAAAAAAAAAAAAGTTTTAGCTTTACTAACTATTTCAAGGATAGAGCACACTTGTAATAGTATTTCAGGCATGGCCCATTTAATGACATGTGCCAAACAGGTGGAATTTGAGCGAAGCTCAACTAAGGGACACTATGCCTAGGAGGAAATCAGATTATTACAGCAGGATTTTAGATATTCAAGTGCATCCCTGGCTTAGGGCTTCCACTCTATATTTCACTTTTTTCAAGGGATGCGTTAACCTTTACAAATTTCTAGGCATGCTAGGATTATCGACCTAAACACCTTCTACTCAAAGACACTTTCATCAGATGTCGCCAAAACACAAAAAGTAGGGACTGACCTGAAGTTCATTCCGGATTCGGTCCAACTTGAATTCCTGATATTAAACCAATGTCAGTATGAACACAACCAAATCCAGTTCACTTAAACTACGTACTAGTCAAACCAAAAATGAAACCTGCTCTTGAAGAGCCTCCCTAAGATGAGACACGAGCCTTGCTCTTGAGGATTCAACTGTGGTTAATTGATCAACGCAGTTCCTCAGTACAGTATACTGACCCTGCACCTCCCCCACGAATGCAGAATCACGGGATCCCCCTGTTCGAAAGAAAATTAGTTTAACACAGACAAAGTTTAAAAAAGTAGTGGAAATTATCCTGTACTTCAAAAGGAGAAAGTCAGATCAGTTAATTGAGAATTCCATTAATTTTTTGACTCTCCAACACAAGCCTTCCCTCCTTCCTAGTCACCGACTTATTTTTTGACCTTATTCATGAACCAATGTCCCAATAACATAATCCAGTCCTTTTAAAATGATTTTACTCTACTAAAGAGATAAGGCATCGAAACCATGAGTTGAAATGCTGTTGATGTAAAATTATTACAGCGGACAACTCAAACTTCTCACGAAATTTATTTTGATCGACAGATGCTTTAACATTTTGATTGGTTGCATTGATTACATTATTCAAAAGCTGAAAAGGAGATTTCATCTTAGATCAGCCAGCATCTATCCATTAAAGTCCAGAATCTGATGAGACTACATTTGGGAATTCCTCCACTTCAGTTGGGTAGAACAAAAACGACATGACTCATAAGAACAATAGCCCTTGCCCAAATGAGGTTGATCCCACATTGTTTTACCAGAAATATGCAGGGATCATGAATTCACAATAATTTCTATAAACAGGAAAAAAATTTGAAGAATAAATCCATCAATTGTAGTTTCCTGGCTAGCATGTAAACCATAAGAAACAAACAAACATGGTCAACAGTTTTTTCCTCATCTTTCATGTTTGTGTGCATTAAGGTGGGCAACCCTGGTCCCTAGCTGCTGACTTCAGGCATATGTTTTGCTTTTCCAAACAAAACTTGCAAAAACTGGATGATTAAGAATGAGATTATCAAATTTTATATTGCAACACGGATTTCAGCGACCAGGGATACCAGAAAAGGGTACTTAGCCTACAACCATATCGCAGATTGCTGGTGATCTGGATCGCCAAACATGGCATTCCAATAGAACTTCGACAACCTACCACTCGCGAGAGAGGGGGGACGACAGTGGCAGACAGGGAAGAAGCTTGGGGAAAGGAAACCCCAAACCAAGCAACTCAGATCATGTGAAACTTTAAAAACTCACAAGTCTGATCTTCTACCAATATTGCAGGCTGAATCATAAGGTAATAAAAGCCTTTTTTTTTTATAAAATAAACTCGGGCCTTCTTTCAAGAAACATGGGCTTTTCTTTCACTTTTGACTACAAATTGTTTCTCACTCACGGGAAGAAAACTAAGCCTTTAATTTACTTATAACAGAAAACTTATTCATCTAGCTAAATTTTAATTTTATAATTTCCATATTCAATCTTAGCATCACTCCACGTTCTAGATAAATGAATTTCATTAGAATAAAAAAATTCAGAAGAAGACTACCCCCAACTAACCATGTTGTATGACATATGTTCGGTGTTCACATTTTCGTACCACCATTGGAACATTTCATGTTCTGGGTAACTCTGGTATGGACAGTACACAACCAGAATACTTGATTCACGATTGGTTACTCATGGGTATCCTACTGAAAAAAGAGCTACATGTGTTTGTTTACACTTCAACAAAAAGCAAAAAGCAATATTTTGTTTTCCCTATTATTCAACTTCCAAAATTATGGAAAGATTATATATGAATCGACATGTCACCATTTGAGTTTTATGAAAGTTAGAGGAGCCTCTGATTTAAAAAAAGTCAAAATATGTTGGCTTTAAGATTTAGATCAAATAAAAAGCAAGAAGTAAAAAGAAATTCCAAATAGACCCTAAGGTGATATAGATTCAGAGAAGAAACTGCTTATCGAGTACCTGAACCGCTGTCGCTGCCAATTTCTTTTTCTACTTTCTCAAAACAGCTGACAGCATTCCTACATTTGCTCAATATAACGTCTTCATCCACTTGGCCACTATAAAAATGTTGATAACCTGATACTATTTTGTCCAGGATATTTCCAACAGGCTGTTTCTGTTTAAACAAAAGAAAATCTTTTAGGGGAAAAAAGTACTATAATACTCATCTACTTTCTAGGAATAAGAAAGAAAGCAATAAAGAAAGAGAGAAAAAAGGAGTATTGGAAATAACATGAGCAGACAGAATTTGAGCTACCACCTTATGTCCTAAATCCTTCCCATTCCTGTCACTGTTCTCCAGGTGTCTGCCACCAAATTCTTCCTTAAGAATCTGGCCCCTTGAACCAAAGACTTTCCTCTCTTCCCATATGTTAATCTGCAGGTAAAGCAGCACGAATGCAACATTGCAAATCAAACATGTTAACTATTGCAAGCTTTAGCTTAAATAACTCATTATCCTCCTCCGCCCCCCCCCCCCCCCAAAAAAAAAAAAACAAAAACCAGGCAAAGAATAGTGCTTGCTGGAGAAGAACATTGTAGAACTTTTACAGTAAGAGAAACGTGGTCTGCATTTTCTACCAAACAACAGAAGTATAAAGCATAGCTTCTCAAAACACTTCATCATAAAAGTTACACAAGAGCTTCCAGAAATCATCCCAGGTATGATTCGGTACCACAATAAGAATTGCCCTGACTTATGGAGCTGTACATTTTTGGAGGGAAAGATAAACCATTAAAATCTTAGAAGATCATAGGATCGTTACCAGATACACGAAAAGGAATTTCCTCGATCTTTAAGTCACTAAGGATGCGCTAAAGAATTCTTATAAAGCTTCAGATATGATTTTAAAGTACGTCTCGAGATCCTTCTCTAGCACCTCATGTTTGGAAAATCATGGGACGTAATATCTGAAACACGTAACTGTACTATCCTATTAGATGTCTGGCTCATTGAGATGACTCGACCATAATAAGAAGACTTTGGAAAGATACAGTCAAGAAACAGAACATAAAAGTCCTAGACAAAGGCAAGAACCAGCAAGACCTCATTGCCGGCTGGCAAGCAGCTACACAGATGTTGCCAGTCAGCAATGGGTAAGTCCGATTCAGGAGAGAGAGAGAGAGAGAGAGAGAGAGAGAGAGAGAGGGATGAGATGAGGTTAATGAAGGTGCTTAACTCTCTCATTATTTCCCTAAAGAAAGAAACAGAATTGAAGACAGAAGATGAAAAAAGTTCCTTTGAAGTGATGCACACCCTTTTAAAGCCAAAGGAATACCAGCATACCAAACAACTGAATTAGATTGAGGTCATCAAAAGTGAAATTCTAGCAGTTGAACTCTCAAGTCTCAAAACCTCATAACATATAGGTTGTTGAGAACTGAAAACTCCGGCCACATCAAATACATTGCACGATTATCAAGTAGATAGTCGTATACGGTAATCAACTAAAATAAAGTTGCAGCTGCACAGGGAGATGTTCACATGCACGGAACATTTCCATCATAAGCAGCATCCATATAGTCTTAACGCATGTCCTAAAGTCGGTTGATTAGGATAAAATTTGTATCCCTTAAGAGCCGATGAACAATAAAGTAGTTAATATCTAACCAAAAGAAAATATTAAATGATTAAATAACCGATACTTCCACATACACCGATTTCTAAAAGGCCAGCTTTCGTCCATAACCAAACAACCCTGGTCCCTGATAATGTTACCACAAGTAACAATATGGTTACTAATGGCCGATATATTGCACTCCAAAAGGCATTAAACAAGCAAGAATTTTGCACGAGTTCCACCTTTGCCTATTAAATAATTCTTTAGTTTGATTGCCAGAGATCACATTACAGAGCAGAAGACATGACCATATAAGGTCAAGTTCGCTGATTTGACTTTGCCCTTACATATTTGTGTATTGCCTAAAAGAACATAAACCAGTAAAAAATGGTGTAGCAGAAAGTATATTACAAAAATGAATCATCTGGAGGACAAGGAGGGGAAATGAGGAGAAGCCGTAGCACATAATGCCCCCACACAAGGGAACTGAGAACGAATTTTGCAAGGCCTTCCTTTGTTGTAGTCATTATTTAGCCACCGGCACGTAACTTCTTTCCGAGTTCTCATCCTTTTAAAGACATAGTTACAAAATGTACAATATTCAGATGCATAGTTTTCTTTCACATTAAAGGCATGCCAAGCATTTATGAAAAGGTCGTATAAATGTATGGTATAAATGCTTAACAAACAAAGTCCCAAATTACAAGCACAAGAGAGATCTTTAGATAGGAAACCAGAAATTCATATGATCAAATCTGTTAGGGTATTTAGGCTCGGGGAAGAGGTAAAAGATAAATTGCTAACGAAAAGACAAAGGAATGAACCAATAAATCAGATGACAGCAAGCGGAGTAAGAAAAACATACCAATCGCAGGGCAGCAGTTTTTCCAAAATCATCCCCATTTTCAATCACATCACGAAGGGCCTCCGGAAGAACCTTCCAGAACTCACCGACAAAGTCAGAACCCTTTCGCCTACTGTTTTGCAAAATATCATTCGCAAGATATAGAAAAGCCACACGTTGTTCCCTAGGTGAGCAGTGAAACTGCCTATCCCATGTCTCAACAACTTGTTTTGCCTTGTTCATATGGAAAATACACCAATGTGACAAAGCTTAACAGCATTAAGGACAGCAACTCAGAAACATACACCACTTTCCAAATATTAGATGGAACAGAGAGTGTGAACTTTAAAGAACAAGCATTTAAAGATAAAGAAAAATTAACAAACTTGATGGAAACAGTTAGCTGGTTCTGACAGCCAGTAATAAATAACAAAAGAAACAAACCATGAAAAATAAGACCAAACAGAGTGCAGTAGCACCAACAACGTAAATGACCTCCACACAAGCTAACATAGCAGTTGACTGGATCACGAAAGGCGTGAGTTAACTTAACATTGGTCTTCACTTCCCTCTCAAAGAACCCCCAGCATGTCAGTGAAGAATGTCTATATATCAGCAAACAACATATTAAACCAAAACAGGAAAAAAGAAAAAACCTAATTTAAAGGTCTTAAACAACAGAAGCTTGACCCATCTACAGAAGTACAGGCACATTAACAAAGTTTCTTGTTGGCAATCATCATAACTTACTTAAAAAGCACATTTTCGTAGATATAGCAGGTGCCAAACAGTCAACAAGAAGTTAAAAGGATACTTTCTATGCTTGTCTGTGAACTGTTAAGCTTTGATAACTTTTCAACTAAAATCTGTGGATTGAAGGTACTGCCCATTGATGCAATCAGATTAGACTGGGCAGATTAGCCCCAGTCTACCTTAAAATTTGGTGAACCTCTGCTGGAAGCAAAAACCTGTGGAGGGAGTGGAAGAGAGAAAAAAAAAAACAATCAAAATCTGGAATGGAAATAGACAGCTGAACACAAAAATATCAGTGGAGCGCATGAGGGCTGCGAGATTATAGTTTTAATTGTTCATAGAAGATTTTCTACCAATTCCTATACTGGTCCAGCTTGAGTTAGCTGCAGAAAACCGAACACTATCTGCATAGGATAACTATTTTACTTCCAGGACAAAGTCATGCATTAAATAACATTGTGTTGGTAAGAAAGATTCAAAATGTTATCCTCTCAACGGGTGTATAAAAAGCAATGAATTAGAAAGAACAAAGCCAGAAAAAACAATCTATGAGGGGTTTCAGAAAAGATCTCACATCTAACTTCATGAATTTGACAGCATCTTATGGAGTATTGTTAAAGAATACAAATAAGAAAAACAAAGAGTTCCACAGACACGGACAACCTAATAGCATCACAGATTCCATACAAGCTTCATATATAAAATCAAAAAACAAATTTTGGCAACTGACGAATTCTAAATTATATTATGAGATCATAAACAAAGAAAAAGGATACCAAACAAAATGAGATCACAAAATAACTCAACTCCATAGAAAAGATCCACATTTCACCAGATAATGAATGACCCTATGGTTTATGAAAAAGGTATACGCTATTAGGACTCCAATCAAAATGGGTAAGCGTACCAAACTTCATACCAAATATTTAAATTTTGACCAGATAATACTAGCCATATAATTTATGGAAGAGGTACATGCTATCAAAGTACATGCTGTAACAATCAAGCATTGACATACCCATTACCTTCAACATATGCTGGACACGAATTTCATGCAGAAGTTTATGTGATCCTATTTGCATATTCATCATGGAATAGTATACTATGCTAGAATTACGAACTTGTGGTAGGAAGAAGCTATTCAGTAACCCGTATCTTAATCATTGACTAAACAACAAATCTCCATGTCACCAATATAATTCTCGTGCTATACTTTTTATAATAAATAAGAAGAAGAAAGCATTCTTCATATCAAACAGAGGGAACACAAAGAAATGTGTACTACTAGTAGCTCGCAGAAACACAATTTGAACTGCATTTAAAATGCAGGGCAGGAAAACCTCCAAGTTTATAAGCCTCTTTTCCCTGAGAAGATCTCAGAAAACTGTAGAAGCACAGACTTGAACTGAGAATAGAATAAAATAAATTTCTATCACTATTTTCCTGTGCAGGGTCAAACCATAATAGACTTGATCTCAGAGAGTATCATAGTGTATTTTTACGTTGACGGATACGCTCATGTCTAAAGTTTTGGTCATGTATTATGGATTCAGAAACAAATAAATAATTCCATCCGCTGGTTCAAAAGATCTGGAGTTTTTGGGCAATTGGTTTTGGTAGACCATATATGGACATTGATTAAATAAATCAACAATGTGGTATATTGTCAAATTGTGGAAGAGATTATCTTAAATTCTCATATGAAGAAATAAGGATGCTAAAAAGAAAAGCAAAAACTCTATTTGCAAAGCCAATGAATGGCCTTTTCCAGCAAACAATGAACACAATCGCTAGCAACATCATTGAATGTGAAAAATAAATTATGTTGCTCACTCTGTGAGGATCAAAGCAGTTAGAACTAGCATATAGAACCCATGCTCCATACTGCGTGGCCATTTGATGTTAAAATCTATTTCAGGTTTTTCTGTGCCAATTATTATTGATTGATAGCTTTCTGTCTGATGAATCTCCTTTTGTAGGCATCCCCCTGTTTCCCTATTTCTTATATGCAGAAACTAAATATCGTAGCAAACAAAAGAAAAGAGCAAAGGACTGTTTTCTGTATTATCTTAAAGAAATTGTGAATCAAAGACGAAAATTCTCTCGTGAATATACCATAGCCTTATCAGCTTCAATCAAAAGGGAACAGAAAATTGTCCTAACCTTAAAACGCAGAACAATATATGATTTTCCTGAAAATTCTAAAACCAAAAGGCGCAGCAGCCTTCATAAAACTCTCAATGAACGGTACATCCTGACAGATTCTGCAGAATCAAAGGTTTCTCACCATCCCAATCAGGTGCAGCATCATCAGAGCATGATCGGCACAGATACTAGTTCAGGCACCATAAGCACTTTCAATGCCAATGATTGAGAACACAAAAGAAACCTCCACTAATTAATCAGCAACACCGAACACAAAAGAAATTCTCCCAGACGCGCAAAAGATTGCATCTTTCCAGCACACCCTCTAAACCATAACGCACGCGAAGTCTCTCCATGCAAACTGCTACCAAATAAAAACTCCGCCGAATACTGAAAGCTGCAAATCAACTACTCCCACCATTATTACCCCAAACAGGCATAAACAGCAACTATATACACAAACTAAGCTCCAACTCCGGCACACACCCTCGAAGAGAAGAACCGAAACACGCACACCCATCTCGACCGCGCTAAGCCCAACAGCTCAAAATCTTATCTTTTTCCCTCTCCCTATCCTTACGATTGAAATCAAGAGCCTGGCAATTTAAACAAAGAATTGGGGGGGGGGGGGGGGTGGCGGCGGAGAAGAGACCTGCTTTGCGCGAATACGAAGCGAATGGCGCGGCGGCGGCGGCGAGAATCAATTGGCAACGTAGACGGAGCAGCCGATTTCGTCGCCCATTGCGGTGAAGCGCAGGCACAGAGAGAGAGAGAGAGAGAGAGAGAGAGAGAGGGAGAGGGAGGGAGGTGAAATTGGGGTGGGAGAGCACGAATTTGGAATGAAACGAGAGAGAAGTAAGAGCAGAAGAAGAAGAAGAAGAAGAAGAAGAAGCTGGGTGTTCAGGAAAACGTGGCTTTAGAGAGAGAGAGAGAGAGAGGCGTGGTTTAGAGAGAGAAAGCTCGGGGTTTTCTGCAAGAGGAGCGGTGTTTGCGTGCGAAGTGACGAAATTGAAACGAGCAGCGAGCGACGGAGGAACGAGGAAGACGACGCCGAAGTTACGAGATTGGCCCTTGCTGCGCAGTGTGTAAGGAAACCTTTGCGAAACGACCCTTCGTTTTTGGCTCCTTCGCGCACTCTCTCCCATTTGCCCCGCCTCTATATGTATTGAGGGTGGGTAGAAAATTTCCACGTCATCGTACCGCCACGTCGCCGGCTGCGGACGTGGCGCGCGTTTACGTGGTCGGATCCGGTTACGAATCGACAAGTGGCAAGCTACTCGAAATGGAGTTCAAGAAGATCCGACGGCCTGTCGGCGTTGCGAACCGTAAATTACTGACGGCGGCGGCGGCGACTTTGATGAACGTTTCGAAATCGAAATGGCCCCCCCAAACTCGACTGTCCGGCTTTCTCCGCTCCGGGAGGCTTCTTTTGTCCATTCATTCTACCTTGCCCCAATCATAAGGATCGCCATGAAAACACCATCCCTGACGGTGTTCATTGTTCGTCCTTTTACGAAAATGTTCTTCTTCGTTATCATTCTCCTTCGTGGTAAGTGCTGCAACATATCCGTTTGCTCGTTAGAATAGACCGACCCTGGTAAAGTGACCGATTTTGCCACAATTGTAGAAGGGACTGTCTCGCCTCCGACTGCTCTTATCTTCATTGTTATTAACTTTCTCTCAATCTCGACGAACTAATTCCCCTGATTAAGCGCTCATCCCTTCTGCTCGTCCTTGCTAATCTCCATGATCTTTCCTTTGTTTGCCATCTTTAGTGTCCGATCCTTATCTCCTCTTAATCTTGATGAATCCCTCCTTTATTACTGAAGAGTACACTTTCATCATCCTTGACTGGAAGCTTAGACGACTGTTTTCCCAAAGCCTCTTGATTGGCAAGTATATTCTCCAATTTAGTAAGAGTTGGGAAAGGTTGTAACAATGGCATTGTACTCCGACCGTAACAAAAGACTAAATGAACTATCAATAGATGAAGAAACTTTCAATCAATTAAATAACATTGTGGCTGCAACTGATGATGACCCTTCTTCAGAAAATCTTCTTGAAGAAGAAGGTCTTCAAATTAAAGTAATTGAAACCACTTTAGAATTAGAAGCTAAAGATCTCTCTCCCAATGAGCCAACACCTGAAATAAATGTGTTAACAAAAAAGAACAAGAATTTCTGTTAGATACTGTAGATTAAATATCTGATCCTGAAGCTAAGAAAAATTATCTAGATAGACTCCAGTTTTCCATACAAATCACTCCTTAGGCTAATACAACTTATTATCTCAAAGATATCCTTAAAAGAAATAAGAAAATTCAATTGAGGCTAATCCACATTAACGATCTCAGTAATGAGATTAATCATCAAAAATTAGAAATTCAGCCTCTTAAAGCTACCCAAACTCAAATGCAAAGGAAATTTTAGATATTAAATCTAGGATGGATATAGGAAAAGAAGAAGAAGAAACAATTGAACCTGATACTTCTGATCCGAATTTCTTAATGATTTTATCAAAAATAACTTCTAAGAAATGAATAATAGAGATAACAATAAAAATCAATGATGAGTTTGTCATTAATACTACAACACTCTTCGATACCGATGTTGATCTCAATTGTATAAGGTCTAATACCAACAGAATATTTTGAAACAACAACAGCTGCAGTAGAATCAACCTCGGGTATTAAACTGCGTATTAAATGCAAGTTACTAAAGGCTTCAGTAGTAAAAAATCAAATGTCTTATAAAACATCTTTTCTCTTAGTCAAAGATACGAGACAAAATAAAATTCTAGGAACGCCATTTATACAACTAATCCAATTATTTACTGTTACAAATGAAGGCATTGAAATCCAAGCTTTACACAAAAAAATGGCGTTCATTAAACCTTGGATTAGGCAAAGACAAATTATCATTTTCAATTTTATCACTAAACCTCAAAGGCTCAAACAAGAGCGGAGTAGCTCTAAGGTAATTGACTTTTTTAGATAAGTTTTTTATTTAATAAATCAAGAATTTTTTTTGGCAAAATTTCAAAACTTCTTGATTTATTTGAGCAGGTCTGGCTCTAGTAGGGATTTGTTTCTCAGAAAATCAGATTCAGAGGGTAAACTAACAAAATATAATTCTTTCTTTCCCAAAATGCATTGGGTAAGGTAGAACATATCCTTTGTTCTATGTGTTTTTGAAGAAATGCAATTTTATCTTTGATTTTGGGTTCAATAAGGTTTTGTTCTATTCACTTGAACTTTAAATCTTATTGTAAACATTGGAGTTTTTTTTTTTTGATGACCCAGGAACCCCCCGCACGGCCGACAGCCGGAGGGATAAACCTGGGGTGACGCTAGCGCAGGACCCACCACCACGGCGCCACACTTAAGAATCCCTAACGACTACGCTGGGGTTCGAACTCCGATCCCTTCGTGGGGGGACAAGAGCGCAAGCCAGTTGATTTTCTTTATTTCTAATGAGACATTAAATGTTCTTGTAAGATGTTAAGATTTTGTTCTATTGTAAGCATTTTAGAATGCAACATTGGAAAGGACGAGTTGACCTGATCTATGCATAGTAAAGATTGGGGATGGGTGGAGTCGATAAGATAACTGTTGCCAAGCTCATTCACGAGCAAATTTCTTCTCGATTCGACTATTGTAGTTTCCTTACAGATATTGAAGTAGCTACGAAACAACATGGAGGTGTTTGGTTTTTGCAAAGCAAGTTGGTGTGCGATATCCTAAAGCGAGAATACGAGGTTGATCATGTTGTGAAAGGATTCAATTGTTTTTTGAGGAGATTTTACCGAATACAAAAGTCCTAATTGTTCTTGATGATGCGGAGGTATGGATGCATCTCCACAAAATTGTTGGAGAAAAGCTCCGTTGGTTTGGTCATGCAATTAGGATAATTGCAACACTGGTATCGAATCTATTCTTAGTCCATATCTCAAGATTTGGCTCATGGTTACGGCATCAACATGATGACATGATCAATCCCTCGAGCTTTTTCAGAAGGGATGCATTGTGAAGAAATCTTCCAATTCTTGGTTTTGACGAAGCTGCTCAAGGACTGGCTTGTCTCGAGGAGCGACGAGATTGGTTGCATCGCGTCGGGGATTCCGGCAACTCGTTGTGCATTCCGTTTCTTCCCAGCTAGTTTTGACAGTATTTTCGCAGACGACCGACTGCCTGATCTCCTCCTCCCGCGGGTCCTTCCAATTCAGCATAAATAGAATTTTGGACATTTATAAATTATTGACGTCAAAATTCATAACCGCACTTTAAGTTATGTGATTTTATGATTATGTAAACGTTTGATAAGAAAAAGAATTATTTAACATAGCTTGAAAAGTATAGTAGAGGAAATTCCATTATAAAAAAGTGACAGAGAGAGAGGAAAAGAAAGTTAAAGTTGGGCAAAAGTACATCATAAGTGCCATAACTTGTGTACGGCGATCACTTTGGTGCCATAACTTTTTTTCGGATCACTTTGGTGCCAAGTCGGAGGAAAAGAGATCACTTTAGTGCCAATTTGGCCGGAAATCCGACGTGGGATTTTTTTATTAATTTTTGACGCCTACGTGGCTTGCCGGAGGATGAGTCAGCGTGTACAGTCAGCATTTTTATTTTAAATAATTTTTTCCAGCGTGTACAGTCAGCATTTTTAATTTTAAATATTTTTTTTCCTTTTTTTTTCCTCTTCTTTCCTTTTTCTTTTCTTTTCTTTTTTTTCTTTTCTCCCCTCGCCGGCCGGCTATCGACGAAGCCCGGGAAGGGCTGGGCGAGGGCGGCCTTGCCCATGGCCGGCGAGGGCTGCCCTCGCCGAATCTGGCGAGGGCGACCCTCGCCGGCGTCAGGCGAGGGAAGCCCTCGCCTGGACGGGCGAGGGTCGCCCTCGCCAGATCCGGAGAGGGTTGCCGTCGCCGGCCATGGGCACGGCCGCCCTCGCCCAGCCCTTCCTGGGCTTCGCCGGTGGCCGGCCGGCCATCGGCAACCGGTCGGTGAGGGGAGAAAAGAAAAAAAAGAAAAGAAAAGAAAAAGGAAAGAAGAGGAAAAAAAAGGAAAAAAAGTTATTTAAAATTAAAAATGCTAACCGTACACGCTGGAAAAAATTATTTAAAATAAAAAATGTTGACTGTACACGCTGACTCATCCTCCGGCGAGCCACGTAGGCATAAAAAATTAATAAAAAATGCCACGTCGGATTTCCGGCCAAATTGGCACTAAAGTGATCTCTTTTCCTCCGACTTGGCACCAAAGTGATCCGAAAAAAAGTTATGGTACCAAAATGATCGCCGTACACAAGTTATGGCACTTCTAGTGTATTTTTGCCGTTAAAGTTGATCAATTTAGTAAAATGAAGGTTAGAAAAGAAGGAAAATATAAAAAGGAAGGAGGGAGGAAGTGACATATGTCATATGTCCTTCTAATAATTTCCTTTAGTATGTAGAACAAATAAATAGATGTATTAATAATCTTTCTTTTTCACCAAAAGATACATTAGTTAAGGAAAAGGCAAAACGGGAAGTAGGTTAAGAAAAACCAAAGCCCACTTGCATCAATTCTACACTCGACCTCCACGAGAGAGAAGCTGCTCAATAGAAGTCTATATGGTATATCTAGCATCTCCTCTTTTTGGGTCAATATAATTAGGAGTGAGCATTGGGTCTAGTTCTACCCAACAATAGGATCGAAACAGCTAGTTCTATCCAGTTTTAGGGAGAACTAGTCCGGTTCCCGATTTCAATAACTTAGAACCGGTCGGTTCCCAATTCTAAGGTCAGAACCTACCTGGGAACCGGTGTCCCAATGTTCAACATCTTAAAATGAATCACACGTAGTGAAATGTGTGTATAACACGTGGTAAAGATGATGAAAAAGTCTAATCATGTAATGAATATGTGTCGGATTACACTAAAAAATTCATTTTTGTGGTAAAAAAGTCCCAAATATGATAAAATGATTTTTTTTTTGCGGTAACTATGTATAGACATGTTATGAAAAAAGAACACTTTTGCACGTATGGAGAATCAAACCATGATTTTCAACGTGAAGAAACAACAATATAACCCCTTGATAAATATATGTTTTTATGATAAAATGGTGCAACCATAATATTTCATTACAAAAATTTGATTTTTTTTTGACAAAACAATAATTGGACAAGTTCCCAGTTTCAATTTTTTTGGAATCGGTAGTCTCAGGGTTGCTTCCCGGTTTTAGGTCGGCAACTGCTTCAGAGTCTCAGCAGGGACAGTTCGAATCACCGCTCCTGTTCCGATAGCGGCCACAACCGTTGCGCTGGTAAAGTGGCAATACTAGAATCTTGACATCGGCAAAAGACCTCGCTAGTGGTACAACCTAACCGATGAGATACACTTTACAGGCTCTTCTAAAGCACTCGTAACTTTGTCTCCTTTGTTATAGTTAACCAAGACGACAGCAAGCCTGACCCCGCCGCAGTCGTGAACTATCAGGATAGTGATAGAAACGGTATACAGCAGCAAAACCAAGAGGCCTATCTTGGAAATTGCCTTGCTGATCACACGTCTTTCGAATGAGAAGATACAGCTCCCAACTTGAACCGGTTACACCAATAGGATTGCTACCTGATTCATTGGAAAAAAGAACTTGCTCCGGATTGGAGATTTCTATCCATGACATATAATGCGACACGTGCACAGCCAAATAACCCATGAGAAGCCACAACACTACAATGATAAGGCAAAAAAAAAAAAATGCACATTTCTTCTTACAGCTTATCGACATTCGTGGTACAACCAACTCAAAGAATCAAAGGTGAGATTGCTCAAAAGAAGAGGAGTTACGCTTCCCTCGACAGGCTCTTATCGAAACAGGAAAATCTCGATGAGCAGCAGTGGGGAGCGAACACGTTCGTCAGGCAGATTTTACCTAGTACAAAGCACAATGAAAGTCAATTGGCATGTTCATCATATTAGGTACACACACGACAATGACGAGCACCCAAAATAGGGAATTTAAATGAGCACGGGCAATGCTAGTGAGCAACAGAGATTAGAGAATTAAAACCCACCTTGGCATCAGGACTAACTTTCAGATTAGACACGATCATCAGAGCGTGTGTGCTCTAAAATCTACCCCCACCGACACCGTAGACCCGAGAATAACGAATTGCAGGAATGAGGAAAAAAGAAAAAAAAAGAAAAGGAACTTGTAATCTTTAATTGGGTTTTGCATTTTCTTCAGATCTAGCACAAGTTAGCCTCAATTTGTATCAAAACACCCCCCTCATCAAACAATTCTGAAGAGAAGCACTCAGAAAATAAAAAAATGAAATAAATGAACATAGGATGAACAAAAGGAAAGGAAAAAGAGTTACGTGGGAGCCAGAGGAGTCGAACGGGCGAAGGGGGGACTACCACCATGTCTTGGTTTTTCAGAACTGGAAGAAGAAGAAGAAAGGGCTTTTTAGTCTTTTCCACCCGATGGACCGGTTTCGGGTTTTTTTTTTTTCCTTTGGGAAACGTGGAAGCGACGTTTCCAAATAAAAAGAAAACTCTGGAAGCCCCCGCCATCCTAGGAGAAAATATTCAGTACTAACTTAACATCACGTCATCGTCCTACGTGGCGTATATGTTCCATTCAGAGTCCGACACGTGTCAGCGAAAATGAAAAATTGAAAAAGCCTTCTTTTCATTCTCTTCGCGGACAGGGGAAAGGACGGAGCAACAATAAATGCCAAAAATTGAAAGCCAGCTCCAATTCTCTCTCTCCCTCCTCTTTTCAATTTTCGGCTTTACCTGCTCAACGACGAAGAGTCTCTCTCTCTTTCTCCAGCACTTCGATCCCGAGCCCCATCCCCCTCCGCCTCCGCCGTCGCCTCCGGAGCCCGGCTCTCTCTCTCTCTCTCTCTAGCACTCCCCCCACCGCCTCCGCCTCTCCCAAAAGCCCCACCGGTCACTCCAAGCTCAGATCTGCCTCTGGCACGTCGCCCCCCAAAAGTCCCGCCGGTCGCAGCTCTCGTCGACTCTGGGCTTCCTCGGACGGCATCGCCTTGTGCCTTTCGCGGACAACATCACCACCGTGCTTGGTTGCTGTTCTGTGTTCTTTCACGACACCGTCGTAGCTGCTGTGCTGTCGCCGTGCCGAACCAGCCCCGCGTTGTGCCAGCCGCTGCCATCACCGTTTGACGCCACGCCAAGCCCGCTGATCGCAGAGCCGCTCTCGTCCGTGCCGCCGTGTTGCCGTCCCGACGCTGACCCGAGCTTGCCCCGGGCCACCCACGTCCTAGCCGCCGCTGGCCACTGGGACCTGAGCCCCCTCCGCCTCCGCGTCAACCATGAGGGAAGCTTTTTGCTTTCCATTTCGGGTCAACCACCATGATGTAAGTTTCGTCTCTCTCGTCCTTCCTCGGCATTTGCTGAAGAGAGGGTAAAAATTAACTAGGGCTTTTTTGACTGAACGTATTGTCTCTCGAGAACAAAAGATTGTATCTTGATTGACCTCACGCTTCATATACCTTGTTTTTTTCTTTTAATTTTTACCAATCTAAAAGGGGCCTTTTGATTTTATAGTTTCTCTACAAAAATCGCACTTAACATTTAGAAAGATCATATCAGGCGTTGTGGGTATTTCTCTTTCTACTAAAGAGTCAGGCCTTCAGATTTAGTCATAATATGATAATGTTGATTGGTGCTCGCTGATTCCTTAAGCTTTCTCTCTTCTTGTCATGTTGATTGAATGTATACCTAGAGCTTTTGAGATTTAAGCCACATAAATTTCTGCACATGCCTGCATGCATGAAACTTCATATATTGTGTATATTTGTTTACTTCTCTGTATACACTCTTCTATTTTCAAAGACAATGCCGTGCCTTTATAGATCTCTATGACATCTTCTGAGATTCGCTATTGAGATAGCCAGTAGGCACTAAAAAAAAGGAAAAAGAAATAGATGTACTGAAGCGCAAGTTATAAGCGTCGGGCCTTTGTTTATTAATCTCAAATGTAGTTCTTCTTAGATGTTGAAAGTCTCTTGTTTCATTGGTGCTGAAGCTCATCTTAGTGGTTGTCAGTATGCAAGCTATTGTCTAGGTATTAATATGGATAGGCTTTGGCTTATGGTTTCTTGAGAAAATACAGGCCCTCCTGGATCTGGAAAAGGTACCCAATCACCGATCATCAAGGATGAATACTGCTTGTGCCACTTGGCTACTGGTGATATGTTGAGAGCTGCTGTTGCTGCAAAGACCGCTCTTGGTCTCAAAGCCAAAGAAGCTATGGACAAGGTATGACTTCTTTTACATTATTTTTGGCCTCTCCACTTGGAGTCCTCTTTTTGTTTCTATGATGTCTTACGGTATGTAGTTTGGTGTGCAAAACTGCTTTCCAGGGAGAACTCGTTTCTGATGACTTGGGTACCACATGATAACCATTCTGGTTCTGTCCAGAACTGGTTTTTTTGTTCCCAGAATCAGTTTTGGACCAAAAATCCGTTTGTTAACGCAATTTCATTTTTCTATTTCTGGGACAAGTTTTTGTTCCAGAACCGATTCTGAACTAGAAATCAGAACAAAAAAAAAGTTGGTTTTCTATTTCTAGATAAAAAATGAGAATCATTTCTGAGAGAACTCTTTCTTCAAAACACATGTTCATCTGGAAGTCACGATCTTTGAGGTGGGAAAAAAAAGCAAAAAATCAAAAATTTCAAAACTTCACATAATGGTTTAAAATCTGTGGCTACCCACTTTGAGCGAAATTTAAATTTTTTTAGGTGCCGAAAAAAATAAAAAAAATCAAAAAATCAAAAATTTCAAAATTTCACAAAATGGCTTAGAATACCTATGGCCACCCACTTTGAGCGAAATTTAACTTTTTTTAGATGCAAAAAAAAATAAAAAATAATCAAAAAATCTAAAATTTAAAAACTTCACAGAATGTCTTAGAATACATGTGGCCACCCAATTTGAGCAAAATTTAATTTTTTTTAGATGCCGAAAAAAATTAAAAAAAGCAAAAAATAAAAAATTTCAAAACTTCACAGAATGGCTTAGAATACCTGTGGCCATCCACTTTGAGCGAAATTTAAATTTTTTTATGTGTTGAAAAAAATAAAAAAATAAAAAATTTCAAAACTTTACAGAATGGCTTAGAATACCTGTAGCCACCCACTTTGAGCGAAATTTAATTTTTTTTAGATGCCAAAAAAATAAAAATAGGCAAAAAAGCAAAAATTTCAAAACTTCACAGAATGGCTTAAAATACCTGTGGCCACCCACTTAGAGCGAAATTTTATTTTTTTAGGTGCCTAAAAAAATAAAAAAAAAGCGAAAAATTAAAATTTTAAAACTTCACATAATGGCTTAGAATACATGTGGCCATCCACTTTGAGCAAAATTTAAATTTTTTTAGGTGCCGAAAAAAATAAAAATATAAAAAAATTCAAAACTTCACAGAATTGCTTAGAATACCTATGGCCACCCACTTTGAGCGAAATTTAATTTTTTTAGGTGCCAAAAAAAATAAAAATAAGCAAAAAAGCAAAAATTTCAAAACTTCACAGAATGGCTTAGAATACCTGTGGCCACCAACTTTGAATGAAATTTTATTTTTTTAGGTGCCGAAAAAAAGAAAAAATCAAAAATTTTAAAACTTCACAGAATGGCTTTGAATATATGTGACCATCCACTTTGAGTGAAATTTAATTTTTTTTAGGTGCCGAAAAAAATTTAAAAATAAAAAATACCATTTGGGCACCTAAAAAAATTAAATTGCACTCAAAGTGGGTGGTTAGAGGCATTCTAAGTCATTCTGTGAAGTTTTAAAATTTTTGATTTTTTTATGTTTTTATTTTTTTTTCGGCACCTAAAAAAATTTAAATTTCACTCAAAGTTGGTGGCTACAGATATTCTAAGTCATTCTATGAAGTTTTGAAATTTTTGATTTTTTACTTTTTTTTCACCTCAAAAAATTAAAATTTCACTCAAAGTGGGTGGCCACAGGTATTCTAAGCTATTCTGTGAAGTTTTGAAATTTTTTTGTTTTTGAATTTTTTTAGGCACCTTAAAAAATTTAAATTTCACTCAAAGTGGGTGGCCACATGTATTCTAAACTATTCTGTGAATTTTTGAAATTTTTGATTTTTTGATTTTTTTGGGCACTTAAAAAAATTTAAGTTTCACTAAAAGTGGGTGGCCACAGGTATTTTAAGTCATTCTATGAAGTTTTGAAATTTTTGATTTTTTGATTTTTTTTGAAAAAATTCAACAAATTTCCTATTTTCTAGAAAAATCTGAATTTTTTTTTATTTTTTGGAAATTGTGATGAATTTTTCTAGAATTTTTCAATTTTTTTGGATTTTTGAATTTTTTTGAGATTTTTAGGAATTTTTTGGATTTTCTAATTATTTTTATTCCATTTTAAAAAAAATGGATTTTTGTTTTTGGAAATAGAATTTTGTGTTGTTTATCAAACGGGTTTTTGTTTCAGGAAATAGAAATTTTGTGCTGTTATCAAACGGGTTTCTGTTCCAGAAATAGAAATTTTTGGTCGTTATCAAACGGGTTTCTTTTATCAGAAACTCATCCTGGAACCAGAAATAGAAAAATCTATTTCTATTTCAGGAACTCATTCCGGAACAGAATGGTTATCATTCGCTACCTGGTTGTTTGCATTATAGATGAAGCAATGAAAAAACCTTCATGCCAAAAAGGTTTCATTCTTGATGGATTTCCAAGAACCGTCATGCATGCGCGGAAGGTTATGTATTAGTACTTTGGTTTATCAAATATGTCGTCTTTTGTACGTCAACTCCCTGTATTGTCTCATTTTTTCTCACAGGCTGCTCTGTTTTTTCTTTGACAGCTTGATAAGATGCTAGAAAAGCAAGGTGCCAAAATTGATAAAGTTCTGAATTTTGCAATTGACGATGCAATCATGGAGGAGAGGATAACTGGTCGGTGGATACATCCTTCCAGTGGCAGGACCTACCACACAAAATTTGCTCCTCCCAAGGTTCCGGGGGTTGATGATGTAAGCATTTTGGATGCTCATTTTTCTTTCCTTGGTTTAAAAGGTTTAGGAACCTGTAAGTTCTTGTGCAAGATGGCCTACTGTACATTGAGAGAGGGTCCTTTTCCTTTTTCAGTTGTTTTGCTTCGATTATTAAACTGTTTGTTAAAGTTGATCTGTTTTTAACTCCGGCCGTGTCTCATTACTTGTTTATTCTGTTGAAGGTTACCGGAGAACCTTTGATTCAGCGCAAGGATGATACTTATCTCGTTATTTGTTCGTGTTCCATATATTCCGACTGCCTCCTGCTTCTGCTGATTTAATCGGTAACGACTTCATGCCTCGCTCTCTCGTAACAAGTGTTTGTTTTTTATTCTTTTGTTAGATCACGTCTCTGTCTCGCGAGTAAGGTCGTATCTGCGGAATTTATGTGACGTTCGAAGGCCCAATGCTGTTAAAATTCACGAGTCACTGGCGAATGTGAGGGTTTTGGTAACTAGAGGCTCTGTTGGCTTGCTGAGAAAATGCAAGGATAGGGAAGAAGCATCATGCGGTGGCCTTCTTTGAATGAACTCAATAAGTTTGGCCATGTTTTTGCACGTTTCACTGGACATTTGTCGCGTCGCCGGCTTCATAATCATTCAATAGAGGATGGGTTGTGTATCAATTTTTTCTACCCATATCAGGGGGAACACAAAGGCCCTTACTATTGCATGGGGACACTAACCCTGGTTACGGAAACTAACTGGACAATTAACTCGCAATCGCTTGCCACTTACTCTATAAATACAAACTAATCCTCACATGCTATCCTCACTCGGACAACGTCTATCTCTAGACAATTCTGTAAGCGATCTTTCTAATGATCAGCTTTAATCAAACTCTCTCTCTCTCTCTCTCTCACATTTTCTATGTTTATCAACAAAAATTAATAATAATGAACATCCTCTTGCTAGTAAAACTCACTTTCTTGTTGATTTTCTCCTCTTTCGTGGTAGGCCAATCTTGATACCCTCCCCTCATTCTCTCGCTACACTCTCTCTCTCTCTCCCCTTCCTTGTTGCACTACTTCTTGGTCCCCAGCGGCTTTGCATGGAGGAACCACCGCCACGGAGGTCACTCAAAGCTCAAGGGACCGATCGGTCGGCCTATCGTGGGGAGCATACCCCAAAACGGCTTCTGCACTAGCTCATAGGAAATTAGCTTCCATGGCGACTTCGCTCGGGGCGAAGAACCTCGTGGCGCTTAGCCTCGGCCCGACCCTGGTGATCATTAGTAGCGATCCCGACACCGCCAAAGAGATCCTCCACCACTCGGCCTTCTTAGACTGCCCCGTGAAGGAATCGGCTCGCTCGCTCATGTTCCAGAGGGCCATCGGGTTCGCCCCCTCGGGGACATACTGGCGCCGCCTTCACCACGTTGCGGTGAGCCACATGTTCTCCCCGAGGAGGGTCGGCGGCCTCGCGGAGCTCGGGGGCGCGTGGCCAGGGAAATGTCGGCGAGGGTGCGGAGGGAGATGGGGGAGAGAGGGTCTGTGGAACTGAGGGGGGGTGTTGCAAGGAGGCTCTCAGAGGAACATGCAGGTGAGTGTGTTTGGGAGTGAGGTAGGGTTGGAGAGCGAGATGCTGTTGAGCCATATGGTCGGAGAAGGGTATGAGTTGATAGCGAAATTCAACTGGGAGGACCATATTCCACTGAGGTTCTTGGACTTTCATGGCGTGAAGAGAAGGTGTCATGAGCTCACCATTAAGGTTAAAAGCGTGGTGGGTCAGATTGTCGAAGAAAGGAGAAGAGGTGGGGTTGTTCATGGCGGCAATGATTTTCTCAGTGCCTTGCTATCTTTGCCTCAAGTGGACCGGTTGAGTGATTCTGACACGGTTGCTGTCTTGTGGGTAAGGATGATTTTTTAATTTCTCGATCTTTACATATTTTTCGATCACTCTTGCTTCCAAGGTTCGTTGCACAAGAACACACGTCGTATGACGATCCGATGCATATGCTTTGAATAGCTGAATTTGATGGGCCATCGCGTTTAGATCCGATGAAATTCACGTGAGACTCGCAATAGACTTGATATGCTATTATTTTGTGCATGCACAAGCAAATGCAAAGAATTACTACTTTTTTACACATAAGTAGATGACGAGAAAATAAAGCTCCGCAAAAAATTCATGAAGGTATAAATATTACATGGCATGTGTGAAAGTATTGATTTCCACTATAAGTTTTAACCATGTTACATGTCCATTTAAACTTAAAAGTTTACTTACTTTAGGAGAAGCTATAGTAAATCTCACTTGATATGCATTACGCACTGTAAACTAATTCATGACTTTTTAAAGTAGTTTTTGCTTTTAAAGTAGTCTCCTTCCACACGTGGTATGTCGCCACTCTTGTTGCATTCACGGGAGCAATTCGCCATATAGAATTCAGATTTAATGAACTCCGAGATCTCTGGAGAGGAATAGTTGTCTCTGCGTCTTCTATTGGTAAGATCCTTCAGCATACTATCTCAAAAGATAATTTGTCTTTGCCTAGTCCGTTGATTATATTCATGTACTTGTACATTCCTCTGCTTCTATTAGAGTCGATAGCTGACCCAATGTTTCTTTGAAAAATATGCTATGTGAAGCTTGACTTAAAAATCAAAGGACAGAAATCAGATGCCTAATTGCAACATTAACCAATATGATTGTATTTTTACTTTTCACTGAATTTGTATATGAAACTCATTGCTTATCTCCTTGTATCTGTATGAAATTGTACAATCTTAAATAGGTCAAACTGCTCTTGTGTGTTCTTATCTTCTCATTGGTGCTTCCTTTCAATGCATGAGTATGGATAGCTGCTTATGTTTTGAATGAAATCCACGAGGAAATCGCATGGCTCCAAGTTGTCTCAAGATTTCTGCTTTTAGTCACAGTATGCTTTGTTAACGATTCATTATTTTTTTTAGCCCCTGGTATCTGTAATTGTATGTTCAGACTCAACCTTGAAGCTCACGTATTTGCTTATAATTCATGTCTTTTTTGCAGTCCAGTATTCTTGTCCTAGCTTTCTTTTCCATTTCAAGTTCACAACTCTCTCCTGTCTCAAATTAGCATGAGAAGAAAAGAACCTTTAAAAGTATGAGACGATGGGTCAGGCTTTTGGAATACCGGACAGTGGTCTTCTAAGTATGAACCACTGCATAAACTTCTTCTGAATAAAAAGATTTCGTCAGTCCTTCATGGCATTCGTAGAAAGGTCTGTTTTTCCTTCTCATATTGATCTCAAATAATAGCTCTCTACCAAATGCCGGGTCTTCAATTTCAGCGGGACTTACGTCAGTGTATATAATCTATTTTCTGATGCACCAATTTCTTTGTTAATGTGTTAAGAGTAACTTCATTTCATTTAGTTCAAAAGAACGAGAAGCTTTTAAAAGTTTTGAAGCATGTACCTTTCCTCATTACAGCATAGAGGGGACTAAAGGTGTTTCACGTTCAATAGATTCACGAATGTTGGGGCAGACGAGAAGTTCTTAAACGTACATTAATGTCCTATAAATGCGAAACTTAGTTTCTTTCTTCTTCTAGATAGTCAATACAGAGTCATTCTCTTGCTCATGCAGAACTGGTCATATATTGAGAATGCTTTCATTAGTGTCTTCATTCCCACGACGATGAACTGTCAACTGGGGATGTGCAACTTGTTTTCTATTAGCATCTTCCGGTAATCAAATTTGGTAGTTCGAGCATATCACTTGGCGAAACAAATAGAAAATAGGTCCACTGTCTCTGCCATCAAAGTATGCAGCTAAAATAATAAGTAGAAGAGCTCTGAAACTCCATTGTTAGATAGAAAAAAAAAAAAAAACCAGCACAGGTGAAAGCTCGGGAGTCTTATCCTGATGTTCTACATCGTCTTTGTCTTCGTAGCACAAAAAGGAAATGAAATAAAAGAGTGGTAGCGCCAGGAGAATTTGACCGGCTCTTCCGAGATTAGTTTCCTTGAGGCAAAATGATTAGGCTACACAAACTATTAATAATTTTTAGCACGTGGATTAAAAAAAAGGGAAGATGAAAGCTCTTTCCTTTTTCAAATTTGGGTGTTACAATCTCTTTCGTCTTAATAAATAGTGTATCTCGACCTTTTCCTCTAATTAATAAGGAAGAATTTCTTATTTTGGATTGAAATTTCTATTTTGAACAATCTACCGAGAGACTCAGAATAATTTTCCATGACGGGTAGATAACTTATGTTAGCAATACATTTTAAGCTTTACAGTAATTGGATTATCCACTACATTTCTGGTTTACTTAGCAAACCGAGTTACATAAAAGGGAATAATTAGTGATTATCAAAATTTTATACAATGAAAGAGTCCAGGCCGATTTCGCACAACTAGTGAAAAATAAAGAAGCACAATTGGTGGAAAATAATTTAAGCTTATAAAAATTAGTGGAAAACAAAAAAGTAAAATTTCGCACAATGGAAGAGTCTAGACCCAAAACCCTCTTTGTCTGAAGTCCTCAATCAGATACCTCCCAGAAGGGAATCTCCCTACGGTTTCTCTCCACTCCTCGCCGGAAACCACGGAAAATGCTCTCACCGGCTCTCTCCACATGGATGTCGCCCCATTCCTTCCCTTCTTCGGTGGACGTTTTTACGCGTTGATGGATCATGCTAGGCCCCACATTGTGCAGTATTTTACAAAAGGTTCTCTTGTCATCCGCGATCATCAGTATGCCCAAAACCTAGCGCAGATTTGGGCTCTTTACAATACACTTCCTCCATCTGTTCACTATGTAACTACATTCATGGTTTTGTACTCGAATCCCATCACCGGACATACTATAGTGAACTTCCGGGGGCTGTACGAGAATGAGCAGGGAGAGAGTTTCTCGAGGTATTTTGTCTTAACCCGTCCTACCATCCTTCGTTATCACTTTTTTTAATGACTTAATTGACATTAGGGCTCTTTAGACCTTCAGCCTGCAACCCATCCCAGGACCCATTTTAGACGTTGCACGCGTTTTTAGCGCCATGTTCAGGACCGGGGGACCATTGGGACAACTGCCACCACCGGCTATACCGCCGCCGCCGCCACCGGCTCTACCACCACCACAAGAAGGCAGCAGTGTCGGGTCGAATGAGATTTGAGTCGGGTCGAATGAGGTTTGAGAGGATGTTAGACTGCACTCATTTCAGATTAGTTAGATCGCTCGGTGCTTTAATTCTCTTTTGAACTTTGTTTCGATGCTCTAGTTGTGTTTTTCTTTTAAATATTATCTTCTTGCGGAGAAAATATTCAGTGCTAACTTAGCACCACGTCATCGTCCTACGTGGCGTGCATGTTCCATTTAGAGTCCGACACGTGTCGGCTTAGCTGGAAAATGAAAAATTGAAAAAGCCTTCTTTTCACTCTCTTCGTGGGCAGGGGAAAGTACGGAGCAACAATAAATGTCAAAAATTGAAAGCCCGCTCCAATTCTCTCTCTCTCCCTCCTCTTTTCAATTTTCGGCTTTACTTGCTCAACGAAGAGACTCTCTGTACTTTCCCCTGCCCGCGAAGAGAGTGAAAAGAAGGCTTTTTCAATTTTTCATTTTCCAGCTAAGCCGACACGTGTCGGACTCTAAATGGAACATTCACGCCATGTAGGACGATGACGTGGTGCTAAGTTAGCACTGAATATTTTCTCCGCAATAAGACAACATTTAAAAGAAAAACACAACTAGAGCATCGAAACAAAGTTCAAAAGAGAATTAAAGCACCAAGCGATCTAACTAATATGAAATGAGTGCAATCTAACATCCTCTTAAACCTCATTCGACCCGACTCAAACCTCATTCGACCCGACACTACTGCCTTCTTGTGGTGGTGGTAGAGCCGGTGGTGCCGGTGGCGGCGACGGTATAGCCAGTGGTGGCAGTTATCCCAATGGTCCCCCGGTCCTGAACACGGCGCTAAAAACGCGTGCAACGCCTAAAATGAGTCCCGAGATGGGTTGCAGGCTCAAGGTCTAAAGAGCCCTAATGTCAATTAAGTCATTAAAAAAAGTGATAACAAAGAATGGTAAGACTGGTTAAGACAAAATACCTCGAGAAACTCTCTCACCACTCCCTGCTCATTCTCGTACAGCCCCCGGAAGTTCACTATAGTATGTCCGGTGATGGGATTCGAGTACGAAACCATGAATGTAGTTACATAGTGAGCAGATGGAGGAAGTGTATTGTAAAGAGCCCAAATCTGCGCTAGGTTTTGAGCATACTGATGATCGCGGATGACAAGAGAACCTTCTGTAAAATACTGCACAATGTGGGGCCTAGCATGATCCATCAGCGCTTAAAAACGTCCACCGAAGAAGGGAAGGAATGGGGCGGCATCCATGTGGAGAGAGCCGGTGAGAGCGTTTTCCATGGTTTCCGACGAGGAGTGGAGAGAAACCGTAGGGAGATTCCCTTCTGGGAGGTATCTGATTAAGGACTTCAGACAAAGAGGGTTTTGGGTCTAGACTCTTCCATTGTGCGAAATTTTGCTTTTTTGTTTTCCACTAATTTTTATAAGCTTAAATTATTTTCCACCAATTGTGCTTCTTTATTTTTCACTAGTTGTGCGAAATCGGCCTGAACTCTTCCATTATATAAAATTTTGATAATCACTAATTATTCTCTTTTAAGAAACTCGGTTTGCTAAGTAAACCAGAAATGTAGTGGATAATCCAATTACTGTAAAGCTTAAAATGTATTGCTAACATAAGTTATCTACCCGTCATGGAAAATTATTCTGAGTCTCTCGGTAGATTGTTCAAAATAGAAATTTCAATCCAAAATAAGAAATTCTTCCTTATTAATTGGAGGAAAAGGTCGAGATACACTATTTATTAAGACGAAAGAGATTATAACACCCAAATTTGAAAAAGAAAAAAGGAAAGAGCTTTCCTCTCCCTTTTTTTTAATCCACGTGCTAAAAATTATTAATAGTTTGTGTAGCCTAATCATTTTGCCTCAAGGAAACTAATCTCGAAAGAGCCGGTCAAATTCTCATGGCACTACCACTCTTTTATTTCATTTCCTTTTTGTGCTACAGTACAACACGATGTAGAATATCGGGATAAGACTCCCTGAGCTTTCACCGTGCTGGTTTTTTTTTTTTTTTCCATCTAACAATGGAGTTTCAGAGCTCTTCTACTTATTATTTTAGCTGCATACTTTGATGGCAGAGACAGTGGACCTATTTTCTATTTGTTTCACCAGGTGATATGCTTGAACTACCAAATTTGATTACCAGAAGATGCTAATAGAAAACAAGTTACACATCCCTAGTTGACAGTTCATCGTCGTGGGAATGAAGACACTAATGAAAGCATTCTCAACATATGACCAGTTCTGCATGAGCAAGAGAATGACTCTGTATTGACTGTCTAGAAGAAAGAAACTAAGGTTCGCATTTATAGGACATTGATGTACGTTTAAGAACTTCTCGTCTGCCCCAACATTCGTGAATCTATTGAACGTGAAACACCTTTATAGTCCCCTCTAGGCTGTAATGAGGAAAGGTACATGCTTCAAAACTTTTAAAAGCTTCTCGTTCTTTTGAATTAAATGAAATGAAGTTACTCTAATGCATTAACAAAGAAATTGGTGCATCAGAAAACAGATTATATACACTGACGTAAGTCCCGCTGAAATTGAAAGACCCGGCATTTGGCAGAGAGCTATTATTTGAGATCAATATGAGAAGGAAAAACATACCTGTCTGCGAATGCCATGAAGGACTGACGAAATCTTTTTGTTCGGAAGAAGTTTATCCAGTGGTTCATTTGGAACTATAGCTTGACTTGGCTCTCTTTGCATTAGAAGACCACTGTCCGGTATTCCAAGAGCCTGACCCATCGTCTCATACTTCAAAGGTTCTTTTCTTCTCATGCTAATTTGAGACGGGAGAGGTTGTGAACTTGAAATGGAAAAGAAAGCTAGGACAAGAATACTAGACTGCAAAAAAGACATGAATTATAAGCAAATACGTGAGCTTCAAGGTTGAGTCTGAACATACAATTACAGATACCAGGGGCTAAAAAAAATAACGAATCGTTAACAAAGCATACTGTGACTAAAAGCAGAAATCTCGAGACAACCTGGAGCCATGTTCATTCAAAACATAAGCAGCTATCCATACTCTTGCATTGAAAGGAAGCACCAATGAGAAGATAAGAACACACAAGAGCAGTTTGACCTATTTAAGACTGTACAATTTCATACAGATACAAGGAGATAAGCAATGAGTTTCATATACAAATTTAGTGAAAAGTAAAAAAACAATCGTGTTGGTTAATGTTGCAATTAGGCATCTGATTTCTGTCCTTTGATTTTTAAGTCAAGCTTCACATAGCATATTTTTCAATGAAACATTGGGTCAGCTATTGACTCTAATACACTACAAAAGAATAAGGTTTTAGCCACGAATTTTGCCACGAAAAATTCGGCAAAATTCGTCGCTAAATGAATTTGCGACGAAAAAAATTTCGTCGCTAATACGTCGTCGCAAAATTTAGCAACGAAAAATTTCAATTTTCGTCGCTAAATTGCGACGAAAAGAAATTCGTGGCAAAATTCATCGCTAATTTGTCACGAATTTTATTTGTGGCAAAATTCGTCACTAATAATTCGTGGCAAAATTCGTGGCTTATTTCCACGAACTGTATTCGTCGCAAAAATTCGTCGCTAATTTGCCCCAAAAAAACAAAAATAAATATTCTATTTTTTTTATAAAAAAAAAATCATGGCAAAATTCGTGGCTAATTTGCCACGAATTGTATTCGTCGCAAAATTCATCGCTAATTTGCCACAAAAAAACAAAATTATATTTTTTTTATAAAAAAAATTCGTGGCTAATTTGCCACGAATCGCATTCGTCGCAAAATTCATCGCTAATTTGCCGCGAAAAAACAAAAAAAAAATATTTTATTTTTTTTATTAAAAAAAATTCGTGGCTAATTTGCCACTAATTGTATTCGTCGCAAATTAGACACGAATTTTGCCACAAATTTTTTTTGTGGCAAAATTCGTGTCTAATTTGCCACGAACTGTATTCGTCGCAAAATTCGTTGCTAATTTGCCCCTAAAAAACAAAAAAAAAATTCTATTTTTTTTATAAAAAAAATTCGTGGCAAAATTCGTGGCTAATTTGCCATAAAATGTATCCGTCGCAAAATTTATCGCTAATTTGCCCCGAAAAAACAAAAAAAAATTCTATTTTTTTATAAAAAAATTCGTGGCTAATTTGCCACGAATTGTGTTCGTCGCTAATTTGCCCCGAAAAAACAAAAAAAAAATTCTATTTTTTTATAAAAAAAAATTCGTGGGAAAATTCTAGGCTAATTTGCAACGAATTGTATTCGTTGCTAATTTTGCCCCAAAAAAACAAAAAAAATATTCTATTTTTTTTATAAAAAAAAAATTCGTGGCAAAATTCATGGCTAATTTGCGACGAATTGTAACTGACCACAATTGTGTAACCCAGAGCCAGCAATCCACCTAGTGTCATCCGTCCAACTTTGTTTCAATATAAGATCAAAGAGAGACAGACACGAATAGCCACCCAATTCATCGAATTTTAGTAGGAACACAACTCAAGGATAAAAAATCAGCCAAAGTCAATAATTTTATTGAATTGCCAAATTGCAAAAGGCAAGTCTGCTCAGACAAAGTTAGTCAAAGCCATGAAATGACACTATCAGTTGAGATCAGACAATTATCTAACATGCAGCATTGAGTAAACATAATTATTTGTAGCCATACAAATTGACAACTTAAAAAATGAAGCAACTATGACTATTAATCGGAGTACCACCAAAAGTTTCCATCTTCATAATTCCTTGATACAGTTGTTTGGAAATATTCTATGGACACGTTACTCTCATGGCTACTATCAAATATATGTGTGTAAGTTGATTCTTACATATGCCAATTCTCAAATTGCAGAAGAAAACTGTCTCAAATGCTATATCTAGCTGCATGTGAAGGTTCATAGGAGTGAAATAGAAACCTTACAAAACTGATAAAGAGGACAAGACATCAGCATAGTAAATCATCAAGTCAACTCAAAGGACGACTATTTAGTGTAATGAAATATGAGATGTTTCTTACCTCAAACTCTGCTTTGGGTCGGATAATGAAATGCTTGTCCACAATCCTCTGGTCACCCAGGGAAAGATAGTACCTAATACCAGATTGACGCACCTTAATCCAATCGTTTATTCGTGCTTCTTCACTGGCTGATGGAGGTCTCAGGTACATCTCAATAAAGCTAAAAGCAAAAGAGGATGTCACCCCCCACAACCAAGTTCACTCGTTACAAAAGAGTAGCAGCTTGCAGATATACTTACTTATCTGTTTGAGCTTCATTTCCTTGGAGAACCTGGGCAGGAAAGGAATCTGGAGACTGTAACGTTATGTTGCACTATTAATTCAAAGTTTCCACCACAAAACACATAGGAAAAATTTATTCAAACAGGAGATGGCGTTCATAATAGCATGTTTTGTTTATAACTTCTTGAAAAACTACCACGGATCATGACTTTCAGTACGACATACTCTTAACACAGCATTTTAAGTAATCATGATGTAAATACACATCACAAGTAACTACTGTTACTTGTGAAGAAGGCACTATTGACGAAAAAGTTTGTTGATTATACACCATGAAACAAATTTTAAAGAATCCCAAAAACAACTAAAGTATCGAACAATAAAATGTGTCAAGAATAACAAGGAAGTAGATTACTGCCTCTTTTTGTTAGTTAAACAAAAAAAAGTACTCACAAGTCCCAATGGGGTTTACATATAAGCATTGGATCATAACTCTGCATCAGTCCAGTAATAGGCCCCTTCGTATGGTCACGCATAGAAAGGTTCACCAAAACAGTGACCATCTCAGAACTTTTGTACCCTGAGATGACTAACATAGGACAGGTTCCATCATGATTTTAACTATCCTCACTCTTTTATACCTGCATTTCATGGTTTACACAGGATAACTTTTCGCTATATGAATTTTACTGTTGGGGTGGGGAGGGGAAGCAGAGAGGGGGGGACAGAGTAGTGGGGTACACAAATTAAAAAAATGTACAGGGAGAAGAAGCTAGAGCAGAACTAGCACTCATTAGAGATCCACTGTAATAGATGGCAAGAAATATATGACCAAAATACACACTCAAACGAAAAGACAAAGTAAGCACATAAACATGAATGAGGTCAAAGTCTTATCCTAGTGAAGGTAATGATTTCTCCCAGATTTAAATTTGAAAATTGCACAATACGAACATCGCTTCTGCATTTTATCTTGTAGATTGCTTCCCTGAATGATGAAACAAAGCTATTGTTGATTCTAATCTGCATAGAAGTCCAAAAAATAAGCAAGGACAGCAAGCTTAAAAATGGCAAACATGAAAGACCAACCTGTGCATGGTGTAAATCTGGCTCAATGTGTCTCCTAAACAATGGAAGGATGCTGTCAATGAGAGAATCCTGTGAATGAGAGTCTCCAATATCATATTGAACCTTTGAAAGGAGGCTAAAATGGACACCACCAACCTGATCCAGAGAAGAGACGAATCTGATCATACAATTATCTTTAAGAACGAATCAAAGAGTCGTGCAATTTTTGAAAAAGAAATTACAACAGCAACCCGAATATCTAGCAAAGACCGCAACCTCGCATGTAGAGCATAAGTACCATCGACAATCACCTAAAACAATTAATTGAAGAACAAATGAACCCACTGCAACAGTGCCAAGTAACATGTCAACCCCCGAGTTATAGAAGCATACCACACCAGAGGAAGCACTCTTAATTGTCTTTGAACCGACACATCTTTTGTGCTGAAAATCGAACACAGGTACCAAAGTATCTTTTCCATTTGTCAGATCCTATTAATAAAGTTTAAATCATTAGACACAGCAAGCAGAAATGGTAAAATAATGTATAAGACATTCACACAACTCAGTCAACAACCAATATCCATAGGGAGAATAGAAATGAATCACCACTAGAACAATCGAGGATATCACAAGAATAGCTCACAATCACAACTTTGAGAACACGTACTCCCAGTTTCACATTATGAATTTAACTCTTCATGGTAAAGTCAAAACCTCATAAAAAGAAAAAAGGAGAAACAACTTAAGATTGGCAACTGGATTTAGAGTCCCAATCTCCTCGGCTGCCCCCCTCGAAACCCTCGAGCTCGGCCCGCACTCCACCGAGGACACGTCGATCGACGACGGATCGCCGGGCTCGTCGCGTCCGGCGGTTCTCGCCGTTCTCTCCATCGCCGGAGCTAGCCATGGCGAATCTCGATCGCACCTCGCCGAATTCAGGCGAACCGCTGGAAGAAACTCGAGATAACGAACCGGAAAACCACTGATTCCAAGCTCCAAGGGGGCGGAAACCACCGGCGAGAGGCGAGAACAATGCGAGAAGGGGGAGGGGAATATTGTTGCCGTCCATCGTCGGAAGCGCCGCCGAATCGATCGGGTTTGGAGCCGGGAAAACCCTAGACGTGTGTGGCCATCGCCAGAGACCGCAAGAAGCAGCGCCGGATTCGGGATCGGACCTGCGAATTTGCGACGATGAGGCGTCGAATTCGCCGGAGACGCGAGCAAATTAGAGGTTGGATTTTGGGGGTGAATTGAGAGGTTTGAGGGTGGGGAGAGGGAGAGAACAGAAAGAGAGAATCGGGGTGATTGAGAGTAGGGGTTGGGCCAGTCCACCCCTAACCCTAGACCAATCTGCACAGTATTAATCCTCAATTTTGAGATCGAGAACCGCCGGTCGGTTCCATGAACCCGCCCGGGAACCGAACCGTCGGTCCGGTCCGATTCCCGAACGGATCCATGGAACCGGTCTCACTAAATTTTCCTGGACAAATAAAAAAAAAATATGTGGACCAACATCGGATCAACGGAACAAAAAGAAAACAACATAATTTTTCGTACAATTCCTATACTATGATCGGTTCTATTAATCACATCATCCATAAATCAAGTGGGTACCCATCAAATGAGTGTCCAGAGATAAGAGAGCAGAGAGTTATGAGTGTCTAGTTACGTTTTTCTTTTTTTTTTGGTCAAATTGTTTTAATTAAAATTTTAAAAAATAAATATATTATTATTATATTACCGGTCCGGTCCGGGTGGGCGGGTGGGCGGTTCCACACGGGGAACCGGACCGGTCCCCTTGGGAACCACCGGTTCCGATCCGTCCCGGGCGGTCCTGGGTTTTTTGCACACCCCTGATTGAGAGGTTTGGGGGTGGCGAGTGGGAGAGAGAAGTGAGAGAGAGAGAGAGAAACGGGGTGAGGGGGTATATAAAAAAATTTAAAGAATTAATCACGGATTTAGCCACGAATTTGAAAAAAGGCTAGTAGAAATGAAATTCGTGACTAAATCCGCGGTAAATTTGCCACGGATTTAGCTACGAATTTGAAAAAATTGCCCACACACGCCTAATTCAAAATTTTTCAAATTCGCGGCTAAATCTATGGCAAATTTACCACGGATTTAGCCATGAATTTCATTTCTACTAGCCTATTTTTCAAATTCGTGGCTAAATCTAGGGCAAATTTGTCACGGATTTAGCCACGAATTTCACGAATTTGAAAAAAATTGCCCACACACGCCTAATTCAAATTTTTTGAAACTCGTGGCTTTCTACTAGCCTATTTTTCAAATTCGTGGTTAAATCCGTGGCAAATTTGCCACGGATTTGAAAAAAATTGCCCACACACGCCTAATTCATTTTTTTTCAAATTCGTGGCTAAATCCGTGACAAATTTGCCACGGATTTAGCCACGAATTTCGTTTCTACTAGCTTATTTTTCAAATTCATGGATAAATCCATAGCAAATTTGCCACCGATTTAGCCACGAATTCAAAAAAAATTGCCTACACATGCCTAATTCATTTTTTTTGGAATTCGTGGCTAAATCCGTGGCAACTTAGTCACGAATTTTTAAAAAAATGAATTAGGCATGTGTAGGCAATTTTTTTTCAAATTCGTAGCTAAATCGGTGGCAAATTTGCCATGGATTTATCCACGAATTTGAAAAATAAGCTAGTAGAAACGAAATTCGTGGCTAAATCCGTGGCAATTTAGCCACGAATTTCAAAAAAATGTCCACACACGCCTAAAATTCATTTTTTTAAAATTCGTGGCTAAATCCGTGGCAAATTTGCCACGGATTTTAAAAGAAATGTCCACGCACGTCTAAAATTCATGGCTAAATCCGTGATTTAGCCACGAATTTTAAAAAATGAATTTTAGGAGTGTGTGGACATTGTTTTTTAAAATTCGTGGCTAAATCCGTGGCAAATTTGCCACGGATTTAGCCACAAATTTTAAAAAATGAATTTTAGGAGTGTGTAGACATTTTTTTTTAAAATTCGCAGCTAAATCCGTGGCAAATTAGCCACGAATTCCATTTTTACTAGACTTTAATGAAATTCGTGGCTAAATCCGTGGCAAATTTGCCACGGATTTAGCCACGAATTTAAAAAAATGAATTTTAGACGTGCGTGGACATTTTTTTTTAAATTCGTGGCTAAATCCGTGGCAAATTTGCCACGGATTTAGCCACAAATTCCATTTTTACTAGACTTTAATGAAATTCGTGGCTAAATCTGTGGCAAATTTGCCATGGATTTAGCCACGAATTAAAAAAAAAGAATTTTAGATGTGCGTGGACATTTTTTTTTAAAATTCGTGGCTAAATTTGTGGTAAATTTGCCATGGATTTAGCCACGAATTTCATTTTTACTAGACTTTAATTTGCCACGGATTTAGCCACGAATTTTAAAAAATTGCCTACACACGGCTAATTCAATTTTTTTCAAATTCGTGGCTAAATCTGTGGCAAATTTGCCACGGATTTTGCCACGAATTTCATTTATACTAGCCTTTTTTCAAATTCGTGGCTAAATCCGTGGCAAAATTGCCCACATACGCCTAATTCATTTTTTTCAAATTCGTGGCTAAATCCGTGACAAATTTGCCACGGATTTAGCCATGAATTTCATTTTTACTAGCCTTTAATGAAATTCGTGGCAAATTTGCCACGAATTTGAAAAAAATTGCCCACACACGCCTAATTCATTTTTTTTCAAATTTGCCACGGATTTAGCCACGAATTTCATAAAAAATTGCCTACACACGGCTAATTCATTTTTGGGTTAATACCACGAAAAATCCTAAACTGGTACGTTTGTGACAATTTTACCCCACACTATTTTTCTGACCATAAAAAACCCCAAATTGGTACACTTGTGACAAATTTACCCCGAACTATTTTTTTGACCACCAAAAACCCCAAACTGGTATACTTGTGCCAATTTTACCCCGAACTAATTTTTTAATATTATTTTTTATATTTTCGAATTTTTTTATTAATTTTTTTATTATTTTTTCTTTACTTTTTTTTTTCCTTTCTCTTCAACCTCTGGCCGGTCGCCGGACCGGCGACCGGGCAGAGGCGGAAGTCGGCGAAGTCGGTCGACCACTTGCGAGGCTCGACCTCGCCGGCGTTGGGCGAGGTCGGCCTCACCCGCACACGCGGCGGGTCGAGCCCTCACTGAGATCCGGCGAGGCCGACGCCCGGCCGACGAGACCGGCCCCCGCCGGATCCGGCGAGGCTTGACCTCGCCGTTGCGGGCGAGGCCGACCTCGCCCAACGCCGGCGAGGCTAACCTCGCCACAACGGCGAGGTCGAGCCTCGCCCGAGATCTGGCGGGCCGGCCCCACGGCCGGGCGAGGCCAACCTCGCCTAACGCCGGCGAGGTCGTGCCTCGCTAGCGCCGCCGGGGCCGGCCCCCGCAGATCTGGGCGAGGCTCGACCTCGCTGGTTGCAAGGCGAGGCCGACCTCGCCCAACGCCGGCGAGGTCGAGCCTCGCCAGTGGCCGGCGGGGCCGACCTCGCCGGCTTCCGCCTCTGGCCGGTCGCCGGTCCGGCGACCGGCCAGAGGTTGAAGAGAAAGGAAAAAAAAAAGTAAAGAAAAAATAAAAAATATCAAAAAATTCGAAAAATAAAAAATAATATTAAAAAATTAGTTTGGGGTAAAATTGTCACATATATACCAGTTTGGAGTTTTTGGCGGTCAAAAAAATAGTTCGGAGTAGATTTGTCACAAGTGTACCAGTTTGGGGTTTTTTATGGTCAAAAAAATAGTTTGGGGTAAAATTGTCACAAATGTACTAGTTTAGGGTTTTTCGTGGTATTAACCCTTCATTTTTTTTCAAATTCGTGGCAAATTTGCCACGAATTTCATTTCTACTAGCCTATTTTTCAAATTCGTGGCTAAATCCGTGGCTAATTTGCCACGGATTTAGCCACGAATTTGAAAAAAATTGCCCACACACGCCTAATTCATTTTTTTTCAAATTCGTGGCTAAATCCGTGACAATTCATTTTTACTAGCCTTAATCTTTACTTTCATACCTCAACCTTAATCTTTACTTTCATCATAATCCATGGAAATAGTAATGAAAGTTCAGGTATTTATAAAATACAAAATATGAAGAAAATATATCAAAAAGTGTATTTACTCTTATTATACCTTGGAACCTTACAAAGGATTTTTTTTTAAATATCATCTTTTTAAATAGATTAGCAACTTAGAACTTTTTAAAAACATTCATTATCAGTGGTTGAATACTATCAAATAGAATTTTAAAGAAATTGATTTATGTAATTTCATTGTAACAGTTGTCATCGCAAGTCTCCTTCCTGCATTTGTAAAACATTGTTAATGTCAGAACGTAAATGGACAAACTTCTCTATAACTTATTTAGTAAAAATAATCATTATGAAGGAAGAGAAAACTTTACCATGGTTTCTTCAAATGGCTCCGTGACGTTCTTATTTTACCATGATTGCCACGAATTGCCCACACACGCCGAATTTTTACTATATTAATTTCCGTGGCTAAATCCGTGGCTAATTAGCCACGGAAATTAAGTATCGCGGCATTTCCCTACTATATTTATTTCCGTGGCTAAATCAATGAAAAAACCTAGCCGTAGTATAAATAGGGCTCCAAAAAAAAAAATTCTGGGGCTACGCCCCCGAATCCCCCGTAACATTTGCTCGCTTACTCCAGCTTGGGCAAACCACCATAGAGATTTGTTCGTCACGTGGAGGGTTGGGGTCGCACAAAAAATATGTCGGGTCGAATGATGAACCGGATCGAGTACATAAAATTCAAGACATATTTTACAACTAATTTAGTCGCGGATTTAGCCACAAACAAAAAATAGTCGGGAAAGTCAAGCAAGAGTTTATTTTTGTGGCAAATTCCGTTGCAAATTAGCCACGGAAAATTTTTCGTCACAAATTCCGTCGCAAATTAGCCACGAAAAATTTTTCGTCACAAATTCCGTCGCAAATTTGCGACGAAAAATTTTTCATCGCAAATTAGCCACAGAAATTTTTTTATCACAAATTCCGTCTCAAATTAGCCACGGAAAATTTTTCGTCACAAATTAGTCACGGAAAATTTTTCGTCGCAAATTCCGTTGCAAATTATCCACGAATTTTTTTTCATCGCAAATTAGCGACGAATTTTTTTTTCTTCGCAAATTCCGTCGCAATTAGCGACGAATAATTTTTCGTCGCTAATTTTCCGTGGCTAAATCCTTATTTTTTTTGTAGTGATAGAAGCAAAGGAATGTACAAGTACATGAATATAATCAACGGACTAGGCAAAGACAAATTATCTTTTGAGATACTATGCTGAAGGATCTTACCAATAGAAGACGCAGAGACAACTATTCCTCTCCAGAGATCTCGGAGTTCATTAAATCTGAATTCTATATGGCGAATTGCTCCCGTGAATGCAACAAGAGTGGCGACATACAACGTGTGGAAGGAGACTACTGGGATAACCCATTGAGCACCCATGTGACAATGATTATTCAGAGGCTGCTTCATATGAACAACTACAGCATGACACAAGCATTCCTGTCAAAGCTATGCAAATGTCTAGACTGAAACTCTATCACTGCCCATGTGCCTCGTATACTTGCAATTTCTTATAGTGCTTGACAGTAGACGATTCTGTTGCAAAATTTCGTAGTAAGACAGAACAAGAATAATGACCCAAGCGAAGATGGAAACAAGATTCTTGTTATGCCTTTCTAGAAACATGCCATTCCACGGTGACTTCCAGTAAAAGGTGTAAACTAACCATCCTCCAATGCTCAGGACAAACACAACCCCACCCACAAGCACACGGCAGAAAATAATTCCACTAAAAAATGCAAACACGTCTACTGAGGCAGCTTTCCTCATTGCCTATGCAAGCACAAAAGTTCTCTTTTTATTCACCCTAATGAAGGGCGACCTCAATTGGATATATTAACACCTAAAGCTCCTATTTTCTTCTAATTTCCCACAGACAAAGGAATGGATTATCAACCTTTTCACCCACGAAAGTATATCATAAGGCGCCTATGAGTGCCAACAATCCTAATAGACTATCAACCGTATACCGGCAAAAAGGTTTTCTGTCTTTCATTTGCAAATAACAATGGATGAAAGATACTAAATAAGTAAAAACTTCAGAGTTCTTACAGGCTGCCCCAGCAAACCATGGCAAGAGAAACAATGGAAGACAGACATGCGACCTCATTGTTGGTAAACGCCTCCTGCAAAGTAAGCTATTTAGTGACACAAACTCTTTTATAAAGATACAGAGTACAGGATGTAAAAAGTTAAGACAAAGCATAAAATCACCAGAACAAAAATGTGTAGTCTGAAAGTGAAGAACATCATAATGCGACGCCCCCCCTTACTCGCGATTGACTGCAGATGCCTGCTTACCACCTCCTCTGTTTTTTTTCCCTCCCTCCCAACCTCCCTCCGTCCTCCCTCCATTTTTTTTCTTGGAGAAACCAACACATAGCATTCCCTCCCCACACACCCACCCACCTCCCCTGGCAGATGATATACTTCTTTGAACTTACTGCTGCAGGAGCAAACTCTAATGTCCCTGTCCTTTACACTTACTTGCCAAATATGAAATACAATTGGAATGCCTGTACTATACGACAGCTGAGCAGTAAACCAAATCCAACTGGACCTTCAATCCAAACTGGAATCACCACATGATCAAATTGTGTATTGGTCAGACACATCCAGATAATGAAGAAAGTAATAATGACAGCAAAACTGCAATGATAATTGATAACCTGCCCAAATGTAGCAAGACTGCCACCAATGCCTCCTTTTTATTTCAGCAAGTCAACGGACATCTGCATAAACCACATACCATGGTAATTGCTGCTTTCCCTTCTGACAATCATAAAACCACTAGGCTGAAAATGTGTAGGATATAAGATGCGCAAACAACCGTACCATAATTGATGGTACAAGGTTAAAGCTGGCAAAGACTTGAAACACAGGAATCCAGAAGCCGCTCCCTTTTGTCCGAGAAAATTTGTGAATCACAAAGGGAAGGATCGATCGGTAAAGAAGCCTGAGAGCATTAGACTACTAAGTTAAACAACGATAAAGATAAAAAGGACAACCCACCTCCAGTACACATTTCGAGGGTCGGAAGAATTAAATCAGAAACTGATCAAGACCATTTAATAAAGGCAGTGCCATTTGGCAACAAAGAGCGCAAAATCGTAGACAACACACTGACACCTTCTTAAACTTAGGACTTAGGATTAGATATTAGATAAATCTCTTCCGCTATCATTTTGCTGCACAATGGGCGTTAGCTCCTTTTCTGCTGTGAATAACTGTAACTGGTCGTTAAAAAAGAAAGAACTACTGCTGTGTAATCACAGAAAAGAAAGCAAGCCAGAAAAAATCGACCACTGTACCCCTACACCAGCTACTACAGTTGCTGGCTGCACTGCAATTCACCACCACTCTGCTGAACAATAACAGCACTCCTCCAAGTCATCGTTAAACAAATTTTCTGCAATCTTTCTCAAATCCTGTCTCATTCACACTAGCACCTCCAAAGTCCATTCTTGCAGCCCTTAGCCCAAAACCCATACTAAAGCACCACAAACAAAGTTTTTACTAACACCAACAGCTTAGAAATCATTTATCAAAGCTTCTAAATCCTTTCTCTCGTATTTTTTTCACCTCTTCTTGTCATCATCCTCCATGTTCTCATTGAGATGAAGCTGATCAGATTTGGAATTTGGATTGATTGCAGCGTCAAACCAATCTTAAAAAAAAGTGTTCAAGTTGGATATAATCGTACCAAATATGCATGCAAATATGCACTAGTTTATTTTCTGTCCTCATCTCCATTTCAACCCGGCAAACCAAATTGACTTTCCTAGGGTAGACACCTCATCACATTTCAGCTAAATTTAACTCCCGCACCTCCATCGAAAGGGTACCCAGATACTGATGTAGTCACCAATGAAGAGATAGTTTCCCCTGCTGAATGGTTTTTTTGGACAAGATTCAACCCATTTCAGGTGCAAAGAAATGGCCCAATTGTAAACAAAGAGTTACCATTCCTGTCCACTCAAATTCATTGGAGTCCACTCAACTTCATTGGAGTACAAATAAAGCAAATTCTGACAAAAGAAAAACCTAAACCAAACAAAAAAAGGAAAAATTCTCTTCATGACCCACTTCGAGACTGTGCTAAACATGTCCAGACAGCACCGTAATTCGCTTGGACAAAACCATCATAACCTCACCTTTTTCACCGATATAACCGGTGCTAACCGAAAAAGCTCATTTACTTTGCAAGCTAAAGGTTGAAAATTAGCTAATCACAGAGAAAACCCAGTTCAGGGTAGCAAAGAAACTGACGTATCATTGACGTGAAGCTACAAAGAAACTCACAAGATCAAGGACAGAACAGAAATGGCGACGGCAATGTAGTCGCTGGAACAGCCCCCTTCTTCCGCGCAGCCCGCCATCGAATCCTCGGACTAAGGAATCGAGCAAGAGATGATTCTAAATTCGTGTATCATCGGTTATGATTCTGACATCAACCATATGAAAGCATATGTAGGACTAAGGTGATGAAAATCTGGAACTGAGGGCGGTCTGCGAGCTCAAGAGCAGGACGTCCATTTTTGCGGTTAAGGCTTAGACCACAGAGGAAAATCTCACCTGAAATTTCTTGCCTTTTTAATATTAGCCCGAAAAAAGGAAGGAGATTTGCTTGTCATAATTAGTCTAGATGTTGACGTGATACAGGTGAGATCTAAGGAACCCGAATTTTGACTATGTATGTCTAGATTTTTTCGAAGGTTCACGTTGATCAGTTAAAGGAACATATAAACAAATTCATAGTGGTTGGTGCTTCTATGATTAATTTAGGATAAACAGCACCAAAGTTGGTAACTAGTGGTAAAGCGAGCGATACTATCTTCCGCGAGCCGACACAAGATCGAGGCGTGTCGTGAATGAACATGTTGTGCCTTGGGCATTCGTTACCTTGTGCGGGAATTACGATGACGAGCTTGTACACTTACTGGTTGACTAAGTACTTATGCATAAAACTAAATTCCGTAACAGACATGGACACTCACGATAACGCTTGAAAGGTTAACTACGTTGGTCTCCCTCCCTCCCCTCTCTTGATAGTTGAATAATTTTCACGCAAAATTAGAAGATGAGCATACAGTTTGCTAGAATAACATTTTTCAATAAAATGATACATGAGAATTTTCTCATTTTCAAAACCACTTTACAGTTCTAGAATCCCCATTAGTTGCTTTTTAATGCAGTTTCTCATGCTCATACCGGTCTACTCGATAGTCTTTCATCATAAGTTGCTCTCATCCGTAATTATTTTTTCGGTGATGCAAATACAATCTCGTCATATCGAACATAACGATGTCTCTACAAATAATACTTAAATGGGTTGCTCAAAATACCTCTTAAACTTACTAAAAACATATGATTTCATCTAAGTTAAGCATCTTGGAGGCATTGTTGAGTACATACAGGCTTGCGATTAATCTTGACACTCCTCATGACGTGCAAGCAAATCTTAGAAGTGGAACAAAACAACATGGGTAACCCACATTAGGCATCAACCAGTGGACTTACCATAGTAATAAATATGGTGAAAATAAGGAAGGTGACATGGCTTGGGCTCTTCAAGCTCCTCCACGATGCATATGAAACATAAATCTCCGTAGGCACGATCTATGTTTGCAAATTTAGAAGCTTCCAACAGTATGCTCGTGCGCCGCGGTCGATCAGGTTAAAGTATATCTCAAAGTGAGTCATAAGCCCATTTCTAACCCATATTTAATGGACTAAGTTATTATATGGATTTGTTATATTCAGTAAATTGGTTATAAATGGGTTTAGGACGGTAAATGCCAAGATAATATGGGTGTTAAATAAGTTGACAATTCACTTAGACCCAATCCACATTTATGGCTCTCTCTTTACTTTCTCACGTCATCACTTGATCTCACTTGCTCCCTCCGCGCTCTTACATTAGTTTGGGTATGAATTTTCCTAAATTTAGTTAAATATGAAAGTGTTTTAACAATATGAATTGAGTCTGGTTTGAGTCTCTAGATTTGTATTGCACGTGAATAGGTCAAAATGAGTCAATTTGAGTCGGACAATTTTCGACCCGACCCTCCCATTTGATGGGTCTAAGTCAAAGGAAACGTGCTCTTGACATGGAAATTGCAAGTGAATCAATCTAGAGTTACCTCAATTTTCACATGAAAGCATCCGAAAGTCAAGGAAGGAAGCCGAAAGCCGAAAGCCGAAACTTTGTTCTAGGTGTAAATTTCTATGTGGTTACTAATTTCTCAAATCGTTGGTAGTTTTCGCATTAGTATCTTTCGGTTTTCTTTTTTTATCTTTTTGAACGTGTTGGTGAAACAAGGGCCTATAGAATTGCCCACTTCAAACACTTAGACCCCATTCGGTTCAACTTTCCCAATGGGCTTTCGGCTTCCAAAGCCCTCTGGAGAAATGCTAAGGCATTTGGCAAGCCTTCCAGCTGTCTCAAACTACCCATACTAATTCTTTAATATTCCTATTTTGCCATCGTTGTTACTGTTCATCTTCTCTACGCAAGAGCGGCCGGTGAGGTCACATGACCCCGGTGACGCTCGCCTAGGGTTGCGCGACCTCGGGCGATGGCTGTAGCCCTCTGCTAGCTCTAGCTAAGGGTTTGCTTTTTTTTTTTTTTAATAAAAAAATAAACCCAAAGTCCTTTGCAAAAAAATTTTTGCCAAACACTACTTAGGGCAAAGTAACTTTACAAAGTATTTTTAACCAAACGCAATTTGCATTTTCCCAAAGCCCATTTGCAAAGCCGAACCAAACGGCGCCTTAGAAATATTAAGCCGAAAGAAAAAAGGAACACTAAGAAAATTAAGCCACACCGGTTAATATTTGATACTTCTTTTTTTTTTTTTGTTAAAAATATTTGATACTTCAGTCTCCAGCATTCCAGTGCTTCTATACCATGAAGATAACTACGGTGGCCTACATACTTCTTAGGCGGGTAATGACCAAGATCAATTCAGTACCATGAAGACATCTTCATTGACTAGCCAATCAAGATGCTTCACAGATATGAAAAACATTGCTTACACTTGGTCGAAAAGATGTCTGTCGACACATCGAAAGCAACAAATGCAGGATCAAAGTCATCAGTAATGTTCAAGGCAAGAAGTGATATGCCTTATTCTCCAGAGAATATGGCTTCGATGATTTCTCGACAGCCCTGAACTGCCAAAGAATTTGTATGGCGACCCTTCTATAAAATTGTTGCCCTAATTTAGCACTACGAAGTAATGAAAAATCTTTTTTTAACAGGAAAGAAAAAAGAATTGGGATACAGACATTTTTTCTATGATGCAAATTGAAGAGAATGGGAATGATGTCGGTGGGGTCCTGGTCCACTCGATGGCAAAAGTTACAAGATGGTGCCCAACAGCCATAAATGCAAGAACAACCAATAGGCGATAAGGCCCAAGCGAGCTCCGGGTCGACTCATCAAAATCCTGCCACCCGATACCCTGCATGGTTCACATGCAACCTATGTTTATTTCTGAGTGCTCTCCAAGCATTATTCCCACAAAAGCTCTCTCCAATTATGAAAAGAAAACTATTAAGTCTGCTCCTAGTGAAAAACAAAACATGCATTTGGCATACTGGCAAGGAAAGGTGTTTCCAGGCAAAACTACTTCAAAATCATCTCTTAGTAATTCTCCTCCATTGGATGATCTAAACATTCCAAAGGATAGCCAAGTAGAAAAACCAAAAACATCATATTCATTCCAGACAGCTCAAAGGGGTAGGCCTTCAAAACAGAGCACAAAATGCACGTTACTACTGCATTCAGATGTGAAAATTAATATAGAAATTGTTTAATGTGGTTAGTATTTGAAAACTATATCCTTCCCTCTCATTATCACCATCTGATTAAGCTTTTAGTCCTGATAAAAGAAGTTTTCATTGTGGAAAGAGAACTAAGAGTGTAAGCAAAAACGAATGCAAGTCAATCTAAGTTAAGGATCTAATCATATAGTTTTAAAAGCATCTAGATCTGACAGGAATCTTCCCTAATTTTGGTGTGCAACCTAAAGAGTTTATAAAGTAAAAGACTTAAACATATGCCATCGATCCGGTCTGCAACCAACTTCCCTTGTTTCGGAATAAGGCCTGATGTATTGAGGGACTTGAAAACATGACCTGCAATGGAGTTGTTTTACAATTTATACTTGGATTCCGGCCCTTCTTACTCTAGATAAATAAAAAATCAATACCTTTGTCTTCATCGGTTTCCTTGTTGCCGATTAAAGGATTCGACTCCGAGTCAATGCTGAGAGCAAGATGGTCTGCTGATCCTTTTCCCATAGTCTGCGCCAGAGCAGATGAAGGAACAGGAGGCATCTGACGGTTTTCCAACTGATACCTGCATAAGCATGAACAACTAATAATAATATGATACTGCTGACAACCAGCATATTGCAACCAGAATAGTTGGGATACTTGAAAGAATAAAAGAAGAAGAATACACTTTCAACACAGAAAGAGCCAAAGTAGGTCTGCGCTACATCAGTGAATTTCTTTTAAGATGAGTTGCCCCTGCCTAATTTAAGTTTCACAGGTTTTCGTTTTCTTCCTATACTGAGGTTCTAACCTAGAGGCTCCAAAGTCAGAGATGATTCGTACCGAGGCATCATCAAAAAAGGCAGAAATAATTATGAAACGGAAACAGCAATAAATCATGAGCCCAATGCCCAGCAAATCCAACCAGTATTCAGATGCAAAGAAATCTTTGACCATTCTGAAATGGAGGGCAGGAACAGCAGCTATAAAAATGGTTGTTCTTCAAACAATAACTAACATCTACCTACAGCATCGGCTAGAACAAGAAGGTAGCTCTCTGATGGTCTACTTAAGGAAAGAAAACGTAGCATCAAGGAAACATACCATGACCTTTTCTGGGAGTAGCTATGGGAGCTAAAACTCAAGGGAAGGAAACAAATACAAAATGAGACAATCTATTATCCATACAGAAATCTCCAGTCCTGCCTCCTAACAAATGGGAATGAGAAGAGGGCCTTCGATATGACCTTTTAATACCAAGATGCCCATTACTCGAATATAATAGCAAGATGCATGCCAAAATTTGTGGTTACTGTGCTCAGTAAAACCATGGTCCGAAAGCAGAATAATGTGGTTGGGTGGGGGGTGAGGGAACTGTATGAATAAACCAAAAAAGAAAAGATTACCACATCTTCAACTTCAGATATCTCTGAACCAGCAGGCAATGAAGGTGCTTCAAAAATGCTTCTCTCCCGGATGATCTCTGGTTGGGTACTTCTACCTTGAAGTGAATCTCCAAGCAATTTAACTTTACTCGATAACTCCTCCACAACCTTCTGGCTTCCTAACAACTTCATTTCAAGTTCTTGGGCTTCCGATTTAGAGTTTTCAAATTCCATAAGCACATTCACAATTTGCTTTTCTAAGGTTGCTAAAAGTC